TATGCTACCTAATAGAAGGTGAGCAGCAAAGTTATTTTACCCAGCATCCTCTCCTGATAGTCACCTGAGGGAAAACCCTCCTTAGTAGTCTTATGGTGTACAATACTAGTGATGTTTCTTTTTACATCAGGCAGATGATTTGAGGAAGCAGCTGTCTAAACAAACACATATAAAACAAACAAAAAACACTAGCTGTAGAAATCTGGAGTTTCTGCCCCCAAACTCCACATGTAGCAACACATATGTGTCAGGCTATCCTGCATTGGGGAGTTTAAATGGAGGATCACTGCATCCCATACCAAAGTTTTGCTGGACAATGTGCTCTTTGAAAGTTAATATCCTAATGTTGCTGTGAAAACCAATTTGTGAGAGAGAGTTAGCTGCTAAGCTTATTTTGTAGCTGTCAAAGCTAATTGTCAATCAACTAAACAAGACTAATTAAGAAAGCTGCATTTGTAATTACATTTTAGATAATTCAATGTTAAACTGGCCATGAAATAAATACTATTGATTAAGCAGGAACAGAAAAACACCAGTCTTTGTATAATAGTAAATGTGACAGAGGGGTTTATGAGATTTTGACGTGGCTTTGCATAATAAAGAGATTTAATAGCATTTATGAGAGAGATTTTAAAGACAGATATTTGACAATTTCTTCTTTTTTTTTTAATCAATACCCAACAGAAGAAATATTATGTTGGATTCTACACTAGCCAAATGGGGATTAGAAAACCACAAAAGGTTCTGGATTTAGAAAAAAATTCACTAAAACCAAATTGTGTTTCCTGAAGGTATAAACTTTTTGATTATCAGAATGTCCTGCGTATGGAGTTATTTTTAAGAGCAAACACACACCCATACAAATGGTTAACATGAGGGTTAACGCCAAGAGAGTTCATCCAGTTCCGGAATGTTCTTTCCTCTCGAGTTTCTCCTGAGAAAAATAAAACGAAATTAAGCAACCTCACTAAGATGTTTATTGTAAACAGTCCACAAACCAAATCGAAGATTATATAAAAAATATAAAAAAAAAGAAAAAAAAAAGAAAAGAAATACAAAAGAATGGAAGATTGGGGTGGAAAAAAACTTAAGTAATTAATTTAATTAGTTTACGGTTAGGTATCACGTATTTTATGGGACCAAGCAACTGTAAATATAGCAATTCACCAGTAGATGGCGCTAATGTACAGTCTGACAGGTAATGCATCTCACCATCTCCTTCTAGAATTACAGTTAAATTGTGCTGTAATGCCGGCTAAGCAATGCCAATGTATTAGAGAATGTCTGATATTAAAGAATATCCGTGAAAGGTACATGCACATTTTAAATAATTTAACAGGAAAATGATGCAGGCAGAAATAATATCTGAAAAGCAATGAGTACAGAAATGTTTCCCACGGATAGATAGTTAAAAATCTGACCGAAGGTACATAAACATGGTTGTGAGCAAGGAAGTGTAAAAGATTGATTTGTTAATTTATTGTAAAATTCCAATGTAAAAATGGAATGGTCAATTATATCCAAGATTATATTGAGATACGAATATATTTTATGATATTTCTCCATTAATAGAAATTAAAGTACAGTTTCAGTGATACTCCCTTGAACTAAGTTTGATAGGACATTCTAAGCCCCAACATCACTTCATTTTTGAGCATGATGTTGTCCCTGTAGCTCTAAATTTAAAATAATGTGATTTCTGAGAAATGGCAAGGTTTTCTTTTTGTAACTAATAATCACACAGAAGCTGCGAGCGATGGGCTACAATTGATACAATAATTGAATCTATTTTATGTCCAACATCAGTATGCAAAATGCTGGTAGCAGAGTGAGCATTCAACAGTGGGTTACATATTTCTCAGAACTAAGTTTTGAATTGTAAGTGTGCCACAATAGCTGTGAATGTTTTGTATATCTGCAATGCTTCTCCGAGAAGCATTTGATTTGACAAAAGTCATCAAGCTACATGATTTCCCAATAGGAAGATCAGGCTGCAGTGAGGAGTCTCAGTTTAATTACTTGCCTTTATAACAGCACTGTGTTTTTAATGTTTATATTATTTTTTTATTTTATCTTTTTAAAGTGGTAGTAATCTAACCTATTAAAGGGACATGTCAAACTTAAAAAATACACTGCTTTTCAAAATGAGAATGTTGTTCCTACAGCCTCAGGAATCTCCCAAGATGATTTCTTGTTGATATCAATGTGGATTTATCTCCAAACCAAATTTCCAAATACATGAATACAAGCCCTAATGTAAAAAGCCCAGTAGCATTTCAATGTTAACATGAATTATTATTATTATAATTGGTATTTATATAGTGCCAGCTTATTTCGCAGCGCTTTACAATAAGAGGGGAATTTACCAAATGAGACAATAACAAAATGTAACAGAAGCAATAGGTAGTTGGGGACTCTGCTCAAACGAGCTTACAGTCTAGAGGAAGTGGGGTATAAATACACAATAGGAAGGGTATTGTGAGAGACAGCAAATAAACATGGTGGGAAAGTAGCAGAATGGAGGTGAGAGTGGAGTGTGGCCCTATAGGAGAGAGCGAGAGGAAGGTTTCAGAGAGAAGTTACTCTTGGAGGCCATAGGCATTCCTAAAAAGATGGATTTTGAGGGACCTTTTTAAAGGATTGAAGACTAGGGGAGAGTCTGACCGCAGGAGGCAGTCTGTTCCAAAGGAAAGGAGCCACCCGCGAGAAGATGCCTAGGATTGCGGGAGCATGAACAAATGAGAAAAGAAAAGTCGGACTGTTTAGCAAGGGTGAGGGCTGCACTGTATGAGCACAAGACAAATTTATAGTGTAGAAAGTCTGACAAGGTGCAAGACTTCCTCCAGCAGCATTCAGCTGAACGGGAGCATCTCTGCAGGTGGCGGGTTGACTTAGTGTGCCACGGTTGGATGCATGCCCTCCTTGAGGAGTGTGCTGCAGCGTCTAGGACAGAGGTGAGGGTAGCATTATATGAGGAGATAGCCAGAGAGGGAAAGGAGGAGGTAGGGATGGATGAGAGTTTGGAACGGCAATCAGCTGAGAGTTGCTGGAGGTCAAGAGAATTCAGATTCCTCAGTTATGGGGGGGTTAGGTTGAGGGTATTGGGTGTGGGGTCACTCGAGAACAAATTATAGGAGGTGGTGGTCTGATAGAGGAAATGGCGTATTACAGAGATTGGAGACTGAGCATGCATTTGAAAAAATAAGATCTAGGGTATTGCCAGCTACATGTGTGGGAGAATTAGCCCATTGCGACAGCCCAAAGGAGGAGGTGATTGAAATATGTTTTGAGGCTACTGAGAACAAGGGTGGGTTAATGGGAATGTTGAAATCCCCTAGAATTAGGGACGGGGTGTTGCTTGAGAGGAAGTTAGGAAGCCAGGCAGCAAAATGGTCAAGGAAGAGAGACGAGGAGAGCCTGGGAACCGATAAATAACTGCAATGTTTACAGATATGGGTTTGAATAAGCTAATTGAGAGAATTTCAAAGGAGGAGAAAAAGAGGGAAGGGGGGGGGGGTGTAGAGGTTTGAAGGAGCAGTGGGGAGAAAGGAAAAATCCCTACACCACCACCTTTACTGTCAGACTGTCTTCAGTTGAGCGTAAACTGTAGACTACCTTAGGATAATGAGGCTGGAGTAGTTGTGTCAGAAGGAGAGAGCCAAGTTTCAGTTAAAGCAAGTAAGTTAAGGGAGCGTGAGATGAATAAGTCATGGATAGAAGTAGATTTAATTATGTTGCATACAGGGCGTGCATTCCATAGAGCAGAATGGAAGGAATGCTTAAAAGGAGAAGTACATGGGATGGATATAAGATTGGAGAGGTTTCTGGGTTGGACACAAGGTCGGTAGGTAGAGGCGGGACCAGGGTTTGTAAGAAAGTGTCTATAGCACCTCCTTAAATCTGCATGAAATGGAACTTGTCAGTATCTATACATTGTTTAAGAAGATATTCTACTTGTAAAGAAAATTTGCTGAAATGAAAATATATTTTTTTGAAATGTACAGAATGGTCACAGTTCCAGAATATTGTGACATCTGATGAAATGATGTCATGCAATATCTCACCTTCTAGTAGTGTCCAATCAATGTCCTGGTTCTCTGGTTTTGTAAGTGCAGGGTACTTGTTAAACAGGTTTGCTACAAAGGCCAAATTTAATTTGGAGTTTCCGCTAACAACATCAGCAGGAGTGACAAACTGCCTGCAGCCCAGTCGATCTGCCTGCTGGAGCATGTCCTCTGCTCGCTTCAGATCATCCTTTTCCTGTTGAAACAAAGTAAAACCTGTATGTAACCAGGATGAACAGCAAACTTTAAAAGTGACCGACTCTTATGACCAACTTTTTAAATATCGCTCAAAATAGTACATAATGATCAGGTAACTATGTCCCATGCAATAGAAGCAATTCTCAAAGCTAGTGCTATAATTAGGATGGATGGATGGAAAGAGGATATTTAAAATAGATGGATACAGAGCTGTCACTATGGAAACCAAAGATTTGAAATTTTTTTGCGTTATTTAGAGTTTTTTTTTTTTTTTTGTAATAGAAATATAGTTAGGAATGTGGCACTATATGTATGCAAGCAGTGCAGAACTGGACATGAGATACTATTGGATGTGAAACTGCAGGGATGCATATTTAAAAGGAAATCTGCTTTTTGTATACATGGTTTGGGTACCTTCAACGTTGTCTAAACCAAACCTACCAGATCAAAATATATGAGCCATCGCGTAGTGGCATTTGCTTATCCTAGCCCTTCTTCCCCTCCATCCTCCCCCACACCCCACCCTCACCCTTGCTGGAAAGTCTGGTGATGGGAGTAACCTCAACAGAACAGCTATGTTCTGAACCAAACATTGAAAATCAGATTTGGACACCAATGTTTTGCAGGAACTTTCAGTAAAAATACTTTAAAAAACAAAAATTGATTTCTGCAAGAATTATATAGAAACTGCAGGTCGTTCTGGGTCACCAACCCTCTGTCTGTTGTATGTGAAACATAAGCTTGTTTTTCAGATAACTGAGATACAGCAGGATCGTGAATCTCTTTGCATGCGACACAAGTATGTCCAGTATAGACAAGTGAGTGCCTGATCAGTGTGCGCACCAACTGAGGCTCTCCATGGACCACTAAAATCATACTGAAAACTCACCTATAAAATCAGATTTCATAGAACATAATGAACTCACTCATTCAGTGTCTAGAACAAGCATAGGCAACCTTTGGCACTGCAGGTGTTTTGGACTACACCTCCCATGATGCTTTGCCAGCATTGTGTGTAAGAGCATTATGGGGGGATGTAGTCCACAACATCTGGAGTGCCGAAGGTTGCCTATGCCTGTTCTAGAAAGATCCCAAAATGTGTAAATTTTTAGTCTGCATTTACAGACTTATAAATAAATGTACAGTGTCATGCTAATAGCAACCCTCTGAGATTTCCTGCACATTAAATAATTCAATAGGAACAAACAATATAAAAAATGAAAAGGTTGTTTTGCACAGACAACATGAATAATTGAAGAATATATGCACACATATTTTAGAATATAAAACCCACTATTTAATAAACAATTGTTCAAGTTTAAAGGGACACTGTAGGCACCCAGACCACTTCAGCTCATTTGCGTGTTCTGGGTGCAATCTCCCATCACCCTTAACCATGAGCATGTACATTTTTTTTTTTTTTTATAGACTGCAATAATTACCTTCTAGGTTTAACTCCTTCTCTAGTGGCTGTCTCCTTATAGGAAAACATGGAATAAGTTCCTACATGGAAATCCTAATTCGAGCACGGCCTTCGGTTTCCCCTGCCAGCTGAAGTCAGCAGTGGGGGTGAGGGAGAGCGTGGGCAGAGCACAGCCAGCACCTAGGGGCATCAGCGCTGGAGCCAAGTAAGTGACAGAGGTGGTTACCCTTCTGCACCACGAAGGAGGGGAGTCCTTGACAAAGGGGGGAAGCTATAATGTCAGGAAATCTAGTTTGTTTTTTACTGGCACTATAGTTTCCCTTTAAGATCAAAGTAGCTACACTGGTAGCATAGCTGACTTGAAATATAACTTAAGTGAAGAACCCTGACTGTAAACCATATAAATATATTTCAAAATAGCAAAGCTCTGGTGAGTTTATCATACTAAACTAGTGTATACTGTGAGCAAATATTTGACAACTCATAGATGTGCTATTGATTGCCATCCAGTCCTATCCCACACAAACTATTCCTGCACAGTTCAATTGCTTAAAGGAACACTCTAGATCCCCTGAGCACTTTAGCTTGCCGACATGTTTTATATGTGAAGAGTATGTCCTATTTTTTTCCATTTTCCAAAACGTGCAGATTTAAATAGAAGCTGGCACATTTACACCACCAGGCGTTCAATCAGATAATCCTGTTAACTTCCTGGTTTGGTTAGCTCAGTGGAGCTAAACTCAGGAGGCAGCAATTGCTCAGAGCACCTGCCTTGCAAAGACTTCTCAATGAGCTGCATTGGTAAGTCAGTGATTGGACAGCCACAGAAAGTCTGGGTGGGGTTGAAAGGGGTGGGCTTGCAAAGACTATAGCCAAGAGAGCTGCAACTTGCGCAAGCTTTTCAGACATGCCCCCAATGAAAATAAAAAATCATAATTAAATGCATGCATGTTTACACTGTTGCATATCTACTAAACTGTGTTTAAAAAAAAAAAAATATATATATATATATATATATATATATATATATATTTTAGCATTGGAGTTTCCCTTTCAGATGGAGAGAAATATAATGTTAAAACTATCTCTAACAATTACAGGAAATCCGAACATTCCAAAAAGATAAAATACTAAGGATGTTACTTAGACACTTACATTGAATCCAGACATACTAATGTCAATTCGTTCTTCGCCTTCTTTCTGCCCTTTTGGTGCAATCTGGTTAAGCAGATGGAAGTACGCTCTTGAGTCCTGCAATGTATTAAAGAGTACATATGACATCCAGTACACCATTGTACTTTAAGACTTCAACTACATTCATTTTTTTGAGTATGTAGTATACAAGGCCTGCAAAATAGAGTCCAACATACCCGACTACACACATAATATTCTAAAAAAAAAAATGCTTCTAGTGGGTTAACCCCCTTTATTGGTCCATATCGAACACTGACCAAATCTACTCATTTGTAAAATCAATGAATCCTTTGCAATAGAGTTACAGCTAAACCTTTTATTAGGGACAATAAAGCAATTACATGAATTATTTACATAGGGAAATAATGACAAAGTCCTGGGATCCCAATATTGAACAAGCAAACGGTATTTATATATGCAGTGAGCCTCCTCTTAATAGGCCTATTTTAGGCACTTTTCATTCTTCATTCAGTTGCTAATACACAGTATAAATTATATACCTTTACTGAATTACCAAAGTCAGTAAGCTGAACAGAAAAAGTAAGGAGAAAAGGAAAAGCCCCAGAAAATCCACCGAATGCATTAGAGAAAAAGGAAAGAAAATGAATGTATTAGTTTAACAAAGAACTATAAATGTCAAAAATCCTAACATATAGGAAATATGGTAAGCATAAATAATTTCTCGACATTTGTGTCTATATGTTCTATAATTTCAGAATCCTTGGTCTTCACGACCTCGTTGGATGGTAAATAAATATGGAATAAAGTTAGAAATCACAGCCACATTATGATGCCCTATGTGATTAGTGCCCAGAGATGCCAAGTCTGAGTTAAAGGAATTCCACACCTAGCTATCCAATGGTGGACCATTATGATTGAAAGGGTGAACTCACTACGGCCATCGTCAAACAATATTTAACAGGGATGTTTACAAAGTATTTTAGATCTCAATATTACCTTGATGTCGGAGCTGAAGTTGTTAATTTTCTGCCAGCCTGCATTCTCCAAGTGGAAATTAGCCCATCTCAAAAGAAGTTCCTCGGGTGATAATTTCATAAGGTCTTCCAAGGTCTCCCCCTCGCGAAGCAAAGCAGCAAGAGCTGAAATAATGCAAAGTGTTGTGTGTTTGTATTTGCTTCTGTATTACAGAGCTGTGTTCCCAAAAGTACTGCCGCCCACCCCATGTGTGTAGGGGGTTATATAAAAACCCCTTTCTGTCTCAGAGATTTTGCCTTCAAGCGGTGTGGATTGCTAGTCTAGGATTTACCTTGATGCAGAATTTTGATTAGAGAATATTCTTAAACAAAACATGTTCTTTCTATCATTGTGGTCTTGGTTGGGGGGGCAGTTCTAGTTTGGCCATTGTATCCTAAACAAAGCTGTCTGGAGTCACATTTTGAGGTATACGTTCAGGTATGCTGTGTAATTGCCAATATGCAGTAAAGTGAATTTTGTTTTTCCTGAAACAAAACAAATGCTAAAAACTATGGGAAGCTGGATATAAAAGGAACATTTGTTATACAAAATGGCGACTAATTCTCTGGGACAGTTGATTGGTAAATAATAAAGGCATCGGGGGAAATAACGGTTATACATGAAAATTTGGTCAATGAATACAGAGTTACGCAAAATATAAAATAGGAATTCTCATTTTTCACGCATACTTTGGTCCCTCAAATCTCAGGAACAGGACTCCTGTTTTATTGAAATTTTAAAAATGGTGTAATCCCCTAGAATGCCTTGAAAGTTAGACCAGACCTACAGTATGTGTTTTGAAAATTTAACGTTTCTTATTTTCTATAATTTTTTCTTCCTCGTGTATCAAGGCAAACTAAAAGCTAGTGAGGATTACAACACTTTTTATTACTACAGAATTGCAACACTCAGCATCATAAATGTACGTATTTTTAATGTACTGCACTGTTTGCATGTGTGGGACTAGGAATTGGTCACATGAGATTGCAGCAGTAATTAGCTTTAAAGCAGGAAATGCAATTCATTTGGGCTACATGCAAATACTACACACCTAGATGTACACTCACACACAACAATCCTATCATTTTATGCAATTTCAAAAGGTAAAAAGTCCATATTTAACCTTTGTCAACATGTTCTAACAAACAACAAAAACCTTTTACCTTCATTCCTGCTCAGTTCAATGTCAGCAAACAAACCGATCTTTATGATTTGCCACAGAAGCCCAAGCACAAGGTGAGGTTTCCCAGCTTTCAGGTCTTCTGCTCCAATGTTGACCACATGACACCCAATGGCAGAGGCAGAGTTCAGTGCAAGGTTTAAATTTTCCTGCAAGAGTACCAAAAAAATAAATAAAAATAAATAAATAAATGAACATGACTTCCATTAGAACACTCAGGATAGATTATCGGTAATCTAAGTAATGATGAGATCAGTATAATAGAAACGTGGCTTCAGCATAAGGCTGCAATTCCAAAAAGGATAGCACTAAGGACTTGAGAGGGCTGCATATGAATTATGCAGCATTTTGGAAATTTTGAATTTTACCCTTAGATCTGAAACAGGGCATGAGTTACAAAAAGTAAAAAAAAAAAAAATATCTAAAGTAAACAAACCTAAATTTCATTATCACCCTCTCCATCCTAAAATTTCAATAACACAAACACTGTTTAAGCTTGCACACAGGCAATCCACCATACAGTTGTTTAGTTAGGACTATTCATTTGAAGGAGTAAATAAATGGAGTGTGAAACTGGCACTTGATCACTCATCGACAGAACATTCTTCAATACAATATCTACCTGTTGACAGCATGTCTGATGTCAAACAATACGGAGGGGACACAAATGCCTCCAGTAGGTGCAGCAGCACACTAAGTCTAGCTCTGAGCTCCCAGAGATAGTTACACGCAGAGCATACAGTAACAAAACATGGCAACAAATTTAACTTGTAATTTTGCGGGTAGAACTTGTGAAACATAGGTAGAGGTTGTATATAAATATTACTGAAAAGTGCAGAGTTACACAGATAGAAGACATCTTGATAATTTACCTGAATCGTGAATGGCGTTAATTTTTTCTTGTTGATTACCCTTTCATCAATTGTATCAGGAACAGACAAGTTGATCATTTTACTAAAAATAACAAGATAAAATTCTATTACATATACTATACATACACACACACACATACATACATACATATATATATTCATACTAGAATTATTAGTGATGACATGCCTTTCTATACAAAACCGGTACGGCAACAGTGAAGCCAATTTTTTTTTTTTTGGCGTTTACAGAATAATGTGCGTTGATAACACTAACTACGAGAGTGAAACAAAATAAAACGTAGTAAAATCTGAAATTAGCACCAAACATTTAGTTTATTCTTCAAATTCTGTGTCAAACCCAACAGTTACCCCAGAGAGTGAGAATAAAATGACATTGTTTTATCAAACACAATGTTTTGTTACCCGTGTTTAATTATTAGTCCAGCATTCTGCTGAATGGAGGGTTTCTTTATCTGCAAGTTACATTAATAATTTGAGAACAGAATTTTGTACAGTGGATCAATGCATTATAAATTGGAATCATCTTTCCTCCCCCTCTTTACCCTATGACTGTATGTTATCACGATGTAAGTGAGCCAAGCCCTATTACTACTATGTCAACAACAAAGGAAACTCCTAGGGAACTTGATTTTCTCTTGTTTTTATTTGTTTGTTCTCTATTCTGTACATTGCTACTGATATGTTTTGCAATGCCTGCATCCTTTCATTCATGTCATGAGCTATATAATGTAGAGACCTGCGTGTCTCCTGAAATTCTACGGCTGGTAATAAGGGACTAGTAGGTTCTTGAATGCAGGTTTTCTGTCTCTTAGAGGATGGCAAGCCTCAATGTTTACTATAACACTTGTTCAAACTCATGTGAAAAATTACTTAAATAAGGAGGTGGACTTCGGAATGATATTTTTATTACCGCATAGTTTAGCACCAGTTAACAAATCCTCCACAAACCAACTTACCAAAGTACGATGCCATCCCCGAGAGTTTTAAATAAATCATTGGTGTTTGGATTCATTGGCAAAACATGTTTGCAGTCTGGGTCATTCTCCAAAGCTTTGTTAATCCAGTTTACAAAGGCATATTTTTCCTCCTCTAAAAAAAAATAAAATTCATAATTTTATGCAGAGACCAAAAGCTTGTTCCAACACATTTTTATCTGGGTTGCCTACATTTCTCTTTGTAATTTCTTGGTTTGCTAGATTTTTTTTTTAGGAAATAGAAATGGCATGTCGTCTAAGAAACATAGAATGTGATGGCAGATAAGAACCATTCGGCCCATGTAGTCTGCCCACTTTTCTAAATACTTTCATTAGTCCCTGGCCTTATCTTATAGTTAGGATAGTCTTATGCCTATCCCACGCATGCTTAAACTCATTTACTGTGTTAACCTCTACCACTTCAGCTGGAAGCCTATTCCATGCATCCACTACCCTCTCAGTAAAGTAATACTTCCTGATATTTTTAAACCTTTGCCCCTCTAATTTAAGACTATGTCCTCTTGTTGTGGTAGTTTTTCTTCTTTTAAATATAGTCTCCTCCTTTACGTTGTTGATTCTCTTTATCTAGTTAAAAGACCACAATAGTGCCAGGAAAACGAGCTTGTTTTCCTGGCACTATAGTGCCCTGAGGGTGCCCCCAACCTCAGGGTCCCACTCCCGTGGCGCTGAAGGGGGAGGAAGGGGTTAATCCCTTCCCTTTTTCAAGTTCCGGGCTCCCTCGGCGCTGGGACTCTCCTCCCTCTTCTTCCGTCATTGGCTGAATGTGCATGCGCGACTGAGCCGCGCGTATTCAGCCTGTCCATAGGAAGTCATCATAAATAATCACCCCTAAATCCCTTTTCTCAGATGTTGAGGTTAGGACTCCTTGTTTTACTTTCCTTTTCAATGTGACCATTGTGGCACCACCAGTGTCAATTGAGAATCATTTTTTACACTAGGACCACTACTTTTTCTGAGGTTAAATAGACACTATAGTCACCAGAACAACTACAGCTTAATGTAGTTGTTCTGGTGAGTATAATAGCTCCCTTCAGGCCTTTTCATGTAAACACTGCCTTTTCAGAGAAAAAGCAGCGTTTACATTGCCCCTAGGGACACCTCCAAGTGGTCACTCTTCAGATGGCCACTGGAGGTGCTTCCTGGCTCAGTGCTGCACAGGTGGCAGCGCTGCAGTTCAACGTCCACACACCCTGCATGGGGACGTCGATTTTCCTCATAGAGATGCACTGATTCAATGCATCTCTATGAGAAGGTGCTGATTGGCCAAAACAGTGTTTTGCCCCACCCCTTTGCAGATTTTATCCAATCCAATGCTTTAGCATTGGATTGGCTAAAAATCTGCAAATTTAATGATGTCGCCGGGTTATGTTGCGAGTGTGGGCCAATCCAAGTGTGGAACACACCAAGCACTGCTTGTAACTGTGAAATCCATTTCTACTGACTTGAGAAAATTGCTACTTCATTTAAGAAAGAACAAAAAAAAAAAAAATCTGCTTCTGGAAATCAAAAAACAAACAAAAAAACAAAACCTTTTTTAGGGTAAAATTGGACATTGGGAAGAAATTACTATATAGCAAGCAGAAAAATAGAAAAAAATGACCAAGGTAAATAATGCAAATGTGTATATCTGTTTGCTGGCAGTACTGCACTGCCTGTCAGTCAATGAGCATATGCCCACGCACTCCCATAATACATTGGGTCAACACTGAAGAAGTCACATTTAGCATGTAAATGTTGGGATTTGTACATGTGTCTATACACATGTGTTGCCATTAGGACCAAGGTAATAAAACCCAATTACTTGCAGCCATAGTAGTAGTTCAGAACAGAACCAGAAATGTACATGCAGGGGGGTGCTTATGGTTTCACTGGCACACAAAAATCAAGATTTTGTCAGAACCAGGCAATGTGCTAGCCAGTGAGTTTATGTATGGATTTTCAGAGTGTTCATGAGCAGTGATCGAAAACCAAGCTTGGTTTAAAAACTAGCATTGAAAAATAGTGTATGTTGCATTTGTTGGTTTCTTTGTTTATTTCCTACATTTGTCACATGCATTTTCTGCATCGCTCTACCAGATGTAAAAATAAGGAATGAGAACAGATTGACTTTAAAATAAAAAATTAAAAATTTATTAAAAATAAATAAATAAACAAAACAGTCTGTATACCTTCATTTGCATTTTTTTCCCCTACTGCACTCCACAAGCAACTGCTGTAATCAAAAAAGGAGTTTTGAGCAGGACTGTGATTTTTATATGACTATACCTGAGTAGGAATGCTGGGTTCCTTCGCTGGAGAGCTCAGACGTGCCACCAATAGCGCAAATTCCATCTTTACGATTTATTGCTTTTCGGAATGTTTTGGCAATGTCACTGCTTTTCAACTCTTGAACAATCTGGAAAAAAAAAGAAAAATTAAATTAACCAAAAATGATACAGTTCCCTCCACAGAGATATGCAACTGCATGTTACAGACTCCAGTGATTACTTTCATATGACATTACAGTTGCACCATTTTGCCAAATTTCCACCAGCCACGAGGTATTATTTCTTCAAATCTCCAAAACCATCGATTAAGGTATCCATTTCCCCTAAATTCTATAGAACCACAAAAAGGTCAAAATATCGCATTCCTGATCTTTAAAAAATAAAAAAAGCTTAATCCTCAAATCGTCCTACATTTACACTCATCACCAAAGAACCCTCTGTATCTAACCTCAAAGGTCTAGAGAAGCTCAATTCTGCTAACTTAAAATGAACAAAAAACGGCTCACTGACAAACTCTACCCCTCTCCCCCACCTCCAAAAAACCCCAAAACAAAACATGGCTTGATAAAGGCTCTTGTAAGAGCCCTCCGGGAAACATCATTTGTGACTTTCAATGTAAATGGTCTTGAGCGAGAACCACAGTGTCTGGTGATTTGTGTTCACTTCACATAACCAAAGATCATAATTATAAAAGTAAATACATGAGGTAGGTCCTCACAGATTAGGCCATCTTTGGCTTGCAAGTAACAAGTCAACACATACAACGACTTGTTCAAATCTTCTCTTATAAATCGGTATTTAGTATCGTATTACCAAAACTCACACCCTCCTTTTTATATTATTTTTTTACAAAGGTTTTTTTTGTCTTTTTTTTTTTTTTTTTAAGTAAGTTCCATGTTTGTTCTCCATGAACATGCAACCGCAGCCCAACATGTGTCTCACCAAGTATCACATTCCTGTTTCCTTTCTGCTCTGTATTGCCAATATCACTTTACAGTTTAATTGTTTGTCCTAGCTTGACTTACATGTATGGAATGTGCTTGGTCTTAATGGAAATACATTCTGCTCATCTCGAAATGGACATTTTTAGGAAGCTAATAAGAACTTTCTTTCATATAAGTAACCAGTGTTTCATTTTTATTCAGGGGTGAGGGGTTAAATGAATCCCAAACAGTCTATCTACAGATTCTTTCATACATGACTGAAGAGGTTAAAAGCTGAAGCTGTGCTATTCTTTTACAAAAGACATATGTATCATGCCTTTTTTTTAATTCTTTTCTAAACAAGTGAAAACAAATGCTGTTCACTCTGTGGAATATTCCACTGTGCTTGGAAGCAAAGATCTTCTTAATGCAGTCAGCAAAATCCATGGCACCAGTCAATTGTTACAAGTGGGTGGAATAAACTAGCTTTTACTAAAAACCTCTCACAGCATCGTTAGGCAGAGTTCCAAATTCACACTTTAAATGGCTGATACCACGGTGGGAGAATAGGAAAGATTAGTGAACAGGGCATTTTTAGGAGACAGGACCATTTTGCTGGAAACACCATTTATAATGTGTGTTTATCCATCTATACAAAACACACTCAGTGGCCATGTTATTATTGTTAATACAAACATCTAATCAGCCAATCATGTAGCATTATCTCAATGCACAAAAAGCATGCAAAGTGGTTGAGAGGTTGAGTTGTTTAAGCAAAAAGCTAGAATGGTAAAAACAAACCAAAAAAAAAAAAAAATGTGATTGAAGCATACCTTCCAACATTTAAAATGGACAAAAAGGGACACTTTAATTATAGGGGTGTGGCAGGAGGCAGGGCCATTCCAGGACATTTAATGTTACTTCACTTATGCAACTAAAATGTAGTTTAGAAAAAGAACAAAGTATTTTACTTACACAGTCTGATTTACTGTGGTTTAAATACACATTATTGCGAGTGTCATTGCTGTGGCTCTGTTATACGCAGCAGACACGCCAACAATATAAAGCTCCTAGAAAAGAGGGACATTGGAAAGGAAAGGCTGACCAGAGGGATTTGGCCCAAAATAGGGAGTGTCCCACCTAAATTGTAACATGTGAGAGATAGGTCTAAGTGTCCTTGATTGTGAAATGATAAGTGATGCCAGACATACTTGGTTTCAGTATTTCAGAAACTTCTAATCTCCTGGGTTCTTCAACAGTCAATAGTCTATACAAGTGTTTCCCAAACCAGTCCTCTGGACCCACCAAAGGTCCAGGTTTTGTCAGTATCTCAATTGGAATAAAACAAGGAAATACATAAATCCTTAACTGTCGGTGGGAACTACTGGTCTATAAAAAAATGAAAAAAAATAAAAAGTCTTGCTAATGACTTCGAAAGAAAGAGCAGACTCGTTGAAGTGGTCAGGATGTCAACCATAACGAAATTAACAACACATCACGACAGTACTAAGCAGAGGAGCATTGCTGCATGCATAAACATTGGACTTTGATGTGGATGTGCTGCAGTAGCTGATGGCCAGAGCTCCACTCCAGGCCACTAGGAAGAGGAACATGAGGCTACTATTAGTCACCATATCTCAGTCTAAGACAGTACCTACAGATTCAGTGCAAAAGATATTCCTCAGAATGAATGTGCAGCTGAAGAATAAGCAACTGCATGAATATTATGCGTGTTTACTTCTCAGTTGATCATTGGACAGACCCTCTAGGAATGAAGCCAACACAAACATGCAATTTAGTTAAGCTTCTGTAAACATGAGTAAACACGACCATAGTGTTTTACTCTTTTGTCTAGGTGAGTTTTAATTGACAGACACTTGCACCTGTCCATTAGTGGATATTATATTTACAGAATAATTATTACCGAATAATTACATTTTAGATGCCAATATATTAAAAAAAAGTTTAAAAATAAAAAATGTTCCATTCATTTGTGTACTAAAAGAAGAGGCATAGTCATAAAAACATTGGGGTAACGTAAATGTGACATGGTAAGAAGTAGCTAAAATACTTGCAGAGTCCTTCTCATGCAACAACTAGAACTATCCTTTGGATTGCCCAGCTTTCTAGTATTCCAAGAAACAGACTTCTTAAATGTATAAGACTTGCCATGATGGACCGAGATTTGTGATCATCTTAAATACTAAAAGGGAAAGATTGTCAGGTTGTAAGGGAGACTAGACAAAATGGTAATATTTTTAAATGATGAATTTAGTATTTAGTTACTTAGTACGCACATTGTACGTGCAGCGATAGATGTCCTACAAACAATGTTTTAGAGATTAAAAATACATTTGTAAAGGAACACACATGACAAAATGTTTATATTTTGTGTCGTTTTCAAAATTATATACCGTATATATGTCTTTGTATTCCTTGGAACTAAATACCTAAGCCTGCCAGTGCAGGTAACATACAACAGTGAAATAGGAAATTTGGCAAAGCATTTAACGGGCATCTGTTGAGTGTGTGCCAACACTTCCAATCCAGCCAATAAAGACCACGAGTGATAAACAAGTAGACCAGAGGACACGGAATTAAAAAATAATTGCGGTTTAGCAAGGAACAGGCTGTATTCATAGCACTGGTGTTCCTTTAAATGTTGTGTATGAGAGAAGTACTCTAGACTACACAACAGAGATAGATGTGCAGTTATAATGCGTGCAGTTGAGGGTTTTTTCTCCATGCATAGTACACGTTGTGTGGAAGCGCTGACAAGCCAGAATATCAATTCCAACTTACTAGCTCACCCAGAAGTCAAGCCAAATGGGTGATGGGGGAGAAATGGGCAACACAGGGATCTAAAGCAGGGAAAAGAAAGGAAGATGTTTTAACAGCTGTAATAAAAAAAATAAAAAAATAAAAACACCTTCGGATTCTACAGGATTTAAAAAGAAAATCACGTGTATGTTCCTTCAACTGTAAAAACAGCAAAGTCTTTTCTTAAAATTGCACATAGTGGTTAACCTGTCTTTTGGTTAAATATTTCTCCCCTTTGATCTTCACAGCTTTCCATGACCAGATCAGCAGTTTGTGAAGCTCTGCACATTTGAACAGGTGGACACTGGTGCACAATCTTGAATTACAGCCTAGATCAGCATTTAAGAGACTGCAGTATAAAGGCAGTCACACACACACAAAAAAAAAAAATGTGTTATAGAGGACATCATAGGAAATATGAAATGGTGACAACTCCTCAGACAATAATTAATTTACCTATATATTGTGCTAGCTAAATTGCATGAAAATGCATAGAATAAAAAAAAATAAAAAACGTGTCAATCTAAGTACCGTGATAACTTTGCATGACTGGAATGTTGATGGTATACACTGAGCTTACCAAGCGCACAACCTCTCAATTCTGGAAGAGGCTTAGAACTGCAATGATGTGCACCTTGAAGAGAGTCCATGAGAGCCTCAATGAGGCTACTAATTTTGTCCACATTCTGCTTGCAGTCAATGAATGCCAGCGTGGGCTCCCTTCTATCCCCTGCCTGACTGCTCTGCACTAAACAACGAACTGGGCTTGTGTCACAGTCTAGCTGCAATCAGTTAACAGAGCAGTTGTACTCTGCCAATGTAATGAGTGGAACTGTAACTGGGGGTTAAACTACTTTTTTAAAATGCTACTGACACTTGCTGAACAAAATGTGCATGATTTTTTTTTCTCCTTTTTATAATGCATTAAATACAATGGACCCATTTTAGCTATACTTTTCATTAAAAATATAAATTTCAGTGTTTATCTTAATGCCAAGGTAAAAGGAACTTGGACAGGTGTTCTAGGCTTTGTATTATGGTGCACTGTCACAGGCTGGGGAATTTGCACAGATCACCAGTAGTGACATCACAGCTTGAGGTCTGGTGGTCAGGGGCAGGCAAAGGTAAGTACTACTTACCTGAACTCATTCCTAGTCGGTGATCCCATTTTCTCCGCTTTGTCTGCATGAGCAAGAGTACTGCATTAAAGGACCACTATAGTGCCAGGAAAACATACTCGTTTTCCTGGCACTATAGTGCCCTGAGGGTGCCCCCACCCTCAGGGTCCCCCTCCCACCCGGCTCTGGAAGGGGGAAAGGGGGAAAAAAACTTACCTTTTTCCAGTGCTGGGCGGGGAGCTCTCCTCCTATCAATGCTATCAATGCTTTCCTATGGACGCTGGCGTGCTCTCACTGTGAAAATCACAGTGAGAAGCACGCAAGCGCCTCTAGCGGCTGTCTCATTGAATGGGGGAAGGCTTAACCCATTCATAAACATAGCAGTTTCTTTGAAACTGCTATGTTTATAAAAAAATGGGTTAACCCTAGCTGGACCTGGCACCCAGACCACTTCATTAAGCTGAAGTGGTCTGGGTGCCTAGAGTGGTCCTTTAAGGTCTATTCTCCATATATAAAACCATTTTGTCTATGGTGATTGTCCCTTCTAGACAGCAATATCACTGCCCCCTGTGTCAGGTGTAGGAAAAATACGGAGACAAAGTAATCCCAACTTTGTCTCCGTGTAATTTCAGTGAAATTCCAACACCGTTATTATGAGTATTTCATAAAGATTCTATCTTCATGAAATACATCTTTTTGCAGGTGGAATGGGGGGGGGGGGAGGTAGGGAGGACAGTGACGCTTTAAGTATTTATTCTAATTTACACATTTTGCACTGACAGGGTATATTATATATGGTTAGTGCCACCTTGAAGTTGACTAGTTTTTGAAGGACAGTCCCACTTCAAAGTAAAAGTTATGCTCAATATGAGGTTTTATGTGAAATAGAAGGCCATGACAAATTTAAAGCAGTGTGGAAAGAAAAAAAATCTCTCTCTCTCTCTCTTTTCTGCTCTTCATTTATTTTTAATAAAAGCACTTCTTTTTTTTATGTCTGTGGTTATTGTTTTCTTGGTGGTTTTAGTAAATAAAAACTAAGATTATGCTTCAAATTCTGGTCAGTAACCAGATACTAAATATAAAATAATACAAGTTTGGCTGCCCTATATTTCCAACAAAATATATTGTATCTGAAAATGAGCAGTCAAAAACATGTGTTGTATACGGGTCTCAACCGAACACAATATTAAAGGGTTGTTGAAAGCACCATGACCACGTCAATCAATTGAGAAGTGGCAGTAGTGCTGGAGTCTGTATGTGCAGTATTTCGCTATAAAAAGCTGCACAGTCACAATTTTATCACTCTGCTTCCCAGAGGTTTAACCCCACCTCCGGCAGCGTCACTGGGACGTCATTAGCTAATCTGGAAGACTGCTAATGTGAATTCTGTGCATACTGGACATCTGCACATACAGCATTCTGACGAGAGGCGTCCAATGGCGGCATAGCACCCCTGTGTGCAGACTGTGTTCTCCCACTACAGAAAGAGGAAGTGACATCAGCAGGGGAGGATTGGGCTGCAGAGAGAACTTGGCCTCAGGACAGGCACAGAGGTTAATGTTTTTTTTTAATTTTTTTTTTTTTTTTAAAGACAGGGCGGCTCGGATAACAAGGGTTACTCCAACCAAAAACAGTTTTTTGGAGGAGTAATCCTTTAATCATAACACTCCCTTTGAAGTAAATTCTATGAATCATGCACAGCATTACAGGCAATTGTAACAGAGTCACAATCCTTGGTGGTTTTAGATGAAATGTAAAAAAAAAAAAAAAAAAAAAAGACCCTCTGGGAAAGTTTTGTCCTCATACACAGTGTATTTTTCTTTCAATGCAAAAATCTTACGTTTTGCTAAGAACAACAAAAAAAAAAAAAAAGTTATTTTCTAATTTAAATCAAATTAACTTTACTGGAAACAGTCCACCTTTTTTATCCATAAATTTGAAGTTATCATTTTAGTAAATAACCCAGTTAGAAATCTGCTCCAATTTTACAACAGGTGGAAGACCATTTAAAACAAAGTTACAGTACTGTCTTGTATTTTATGTGTGCACCTCTCTTACTTTGCTGTATTCTCATTCTATGTTGTGCATATTGGCATTTTTTTCCCAACATTTGGAATTTCTATAAAATTACAGTGTTTAGTATTTTTAGCTGGAAATATGTAATTTTCTTAATCATTCTACAATGCACACAACACTGACAATGCTCAAACACTTTAAATAAACTTTGAAAAGAGAGAGGAGAAAAAAAAAATCTCATAGTAATTTACACAACTGAGTTAATACAGATATATTCGCGCAGAACTTACAAAAACAAATTCTTCAAAGCATATTTTTCCATCCTTGTTTTTATCTCCTTCAAGCATAAGCTTCTGGATGATCTCCCTCACTCTGTATCCAGGAAGGGGAAGATTGGCTTCTTTAAATAGATCGTGGAGTTCATAGTCTGAAATGTAGCCACTGCTGTCAAGATCTGCAAAGAAAAAAAATAAATAAAAAAATAAAAAATCAGTGAAATTCTGAGCAGAGTTAACGGATTCAACTAGTCTAGGAGGTCCTGCAAAGCTGGGTGAATGGATGGATGCATGGATAGATAGTTGATGAGAGAGAAAAATGGATAAAATCAGAAAATAAAAGTATAAAAGAAATGGAAGTAATAGAAGATAAGGAGTAGAAAAAAACAAAAAAGAGGGCAGGTGCAGAAAAAATAATAAATAAAAGTGGGAAAAGTAAAATGTGGTAAAAACAGATAAAAGAATGAAATTAAAAATGGAATATTTGAAATGGACTAAATGGATCTGAGTGCAACCAATATATATGTGCAGAGCAGGTATCTCTATCCCTAATACAATATAAGGTAGATGATGTCAGTTCCAAATAATATACTTTGTAACATCAAAGGTAAATGTATCGATGTAATTAAGCAACACAGTATGTGGAACTGTTTGCTCTTGCAATACCAACAATGTATCACTATGGACTGAAGCAATACTGAAACTGGATCTATTTATTTAAAAAAAAAAAAAGTTTATTGAACAAAATAGTAAAAAATGGTAAAAATTATTAAAAGTGCAAAAATACAGATCAGAAGTAGTTCATGAAGGCATTACCAGTTTTATGCAAGTTAAAAGTGAGCAAGGACCTTCGGATGGGGTAAGGATGGACCTGGATTGTGTTGACAGGTTGGTCGCCTGTATTGGGGATTAGGGTATCTAACTTAAAAATCCACTTCGCTTCTGTTTGGTCAAGGTTTTTATCAATGCTACCTCCTCTCCAATGTACATTTACTTTCTCAATAGCTAGGAACTCAAGTCGTGTAGGGTCTCCCCCATGAAAGTCTTTGAAGTGTTTTGAGAGATTGTGTTAAAAGTCCTTTCTTGATATTCCTAGTATGTTCTGCAGTTCGTATTTTAAATGGTCTCTTCGTACGTCCAATGTACTGCTTCGGACACCGGCATGTTAAAAGATAGATGACTCCCTCCCTCGTGTTGCATTAGGTATACCAGTACGTGTTTTTTATGGATAGATAGTTATCTAAGAATGAATGCTGAAACGTAAGGGATCCAGCTTGATAGGAAGTTAAATAGACAATATAGTCATCTTAACCTCTATAGCTTAATTTAGTGGTCCAGGGGCGTATAGACTGACCCTGCAGGTTCAGCAGTGTAATCCTGCCCTTTCCTGAGAAAATGCAGTTTTTACATTGCTGCCTAAGCCCACCTCTAGTAACTGTCACTCAAACAGCCACTTTAGGGACTTCCCTGGTTAGCGTCTCTACGCTTTGTATGGAGATTCTGAACACTCCCCAGAGAGATGCATTATTTCTCTATGGTGAAGCATTGATTTTGCTGAGATCATCAAAATTGATTATCTCAGCCAGGTAGGTAAGTAAATTTGCTTTAACTATCTTACTTTTTTTTTTTTAACCCTTGCCGTTAACGCTATAATGTTCTCTTTACTATATAGATTAAGGTATACATGTTTGCATTCCTTACGCTATAGTGTTACTTTAATAGGGATTTTAATAACAACGTCTTCCAAAAGGTACTCAAAATAAAAATCAGATGAAGCAACAAAACAACACAGCAGTAAATCGGTCAACATTATTTATTTATAAAGTGTCTGTTCTGCAGCAATATACCATAGACACAACATACAAATAAATTCAACAGGACAAAAGTTGAATGAAATGCGGGCCCTGCTCAAACAAGAATACAATCTCAATTTCAAGAGGAAATGGGGGTATAAAAAATAAAAAATTTAAACAAGAAGTACTTTTGCAATCGTTTCTCAAATAGTCACAAAGAACTTTAATTAGAGGTTACTATTTAACACAGTGTTTCTGGTGTTAAAACCAAACCACAGTTGTGTCGGACTAGTTCACTCTAGAGTCATGCAGTGCATTTTGGGCAATTGTTTTTAACAGGCTTGTACAATTTTGCACCAGACAGACTAAACTCTACATTGTGACAGAAAACACAGGGGCCGTGTATACGGTTTGAGACAATACTATACGGAATCGTCTAGGATGTCCCTGAAGAAAATGAGTTACATTAGGTCATACAAATAACTTTGTGAATGCAAACACATGTGCCCTGTCTGGAGGAGAAGAGAAAAAAAAATACAGGTCACAGAAGTGCAATTAAATAAGAATATTTTCCTTAAGCATGATGACTGAACAGAAATAGTCGTCATGTCCTGCATGCGGACATGTTAGGACGCTGAATTTAACAGAAAGACGATTAAAACAGGAAAAAAACAGTATATGTCCTGTAGGGAATTGGCTATAGAAAATCCACTCTTCTAATAAATACTATGTCTGTGAGTTCCAATTGTAGGTGACCTAAATAATCCTGCGCTGGTTTGGTTTTCTTCAAACAAGGACTTTAAGAAAAGTGTACAACAACAGGATGTGAGTTTAAAAAAAAAAGAAATGTTCAACCATATCTGGGACTTAAATTCTGCTTCAGGCTGTCAAGCAATTATTTCAAATGAATCACAAAAAGAAAAAAAGAAAAAAAATGAATAAATAAAAGTAAATCTTTGGATACCAGTCTTCTCTGCAAAATTCAGCTTTAAACAAACAAAACAAAAAACAGTTTACACAGTTTTATTTTAGTAGAAGCAGCAAGAAAATTATGTGGTTTTTCCCTCTTCACCAAGTTCTGTCATATTAATATAAACACCACAGACACATTGGCAGATATTTATGCTTGTGTGTGTTTTGAAACCCAGTGTGGTGGGAGCATTGAGACAATTATAAATAGGGTTTTAATTGCATGAATCGGAGTTTGGATAATCTACAAGAGGTCATAAAAGGAAACGGTCTCTTATGGAGTATTTTTTATTTCATATACTTAACCCCAATAATTAAATTTTTCAGATTTTTGGAACAATTGTGTTATTTATAGACAATCACACAGCTCTGTCCTGTAATTTAGTGACTCCATTTTGTCTCCCTGTCAATCGTCTTCCATTTGCATTTGGCAGTCTGCATAGACAAATCATAGCATTCAATATATGGTCCACAGGTTTAATTGGAATAAAGATCGAAAAAAAAAAAATTTGGCCCAATGGCCTTAATCAGATGCTTCCTGGTGGCCACTTGGCACGCTCGCGACATTTGCAGATTTGTTGTAGCCAGAAGTGACTCGTCAGTCACTGGATGAAAGCATCAGCCGACAGATCTTGCCGATGACTGACATTCTGTGCAATGACATTTGCACAATGTTGGGGTCCCTTTAACACAGATTTGACATAAGCCAACCCAGAACTCTAGTTTTAGACCTGCTAGTGACACCCTTAATGACGCAGCTTGAGGTGGCGTTAAATCTCCAGGAGCAGAGGGGTTGAACTCCATAAGTGCAGCGTTTCATAGGTAAATACTGCACATACTGACGCAAGGCACCATGAGCAACTTCAAATAACTGAAATTATTCCCCTTTAACATAGTAAAATCTTACTTTTGTTCAAGTCTGCAACTGCTGGCTCTACCCTGATCTGCCTGCTTGGCTTGCATCATCAGAAATGTTTTTCTGAGTCAATCACAATGCTTTCCCATAGGATTGGCTTGAGACTGTCAAGGAGGCAGATCAGGGGCAGAGCCAAAGCCGCCCTGGCCAATCAGCATCTCCTCGTAGATATGTATTGAATCAATGCATCTGTATGAGGAAAATTCAATGTCTCCATGCAGAGAGTGGAGACACTGAATGTTAGTCACGCTGTGCAGCACTTTCCCAGGAAGCACCTCTAAAAGGCCATCGGAGTAGTGGCCATTGGGTGTATCCCTAGGATGTAAAGGAAAGCAGTGGTTACTGCAAAAACCCTGAAGGAAATTAATGAATATACTCACCAGAAAAAATACAATAAGCTGTAGTTGTTTTGGTGACTATATAGTATCCATTTAATTACATAACATGTCATATTTTACTGCAATTTTAGATATATTAAAATGATGTAGAGATACAAAACAATAGCTGATCTAAGAGTTGCCTTTAAAAAAACCTAAATCAGAATATGCAACAAAAGTTATTATTCAATAAACCATGAATGGGAAAACACTCATGCCAAGGATGAGGATTATTTAAATATGAGAAATATTAGCTTTGACAGTGTTATTTCTAAATATATATTTTAAAATTCAACTTGGCCACAGCTCTCTTTCTGGATGTGGCATTGGAAAAAACTCAGCCCAGCCCAGGTTAGGAATGAAACACTTGTTTAACACCCCATGCTCTTTTGGAAAGAGACACAAAATGCAAAGAACAGAAGCTGTTAAAGCAGAGAGTTGAATTAAATGGAGAAATGTTGCAATCAGCCAAATATCGTATGGAGTATTACTGTTGTGCTAGCTACTCTATTACTTGTGTAGTTTATCACTTCAGAAAAATCACCCAAATTCTCAATTCCTAGCACAGCTTAACAGGTTAGTAACGTAAATACAATGGGAAAAAAAGGGGATTTTATTTTTTTATTTAGGAAGAATTTAATTGCAAGCTTGTAACCCTTTAAAGGCCAGTAGTGTTACATGCACATATTAACATATAGCCTGGCCATCTTCATACTATCGTGGGGTGATCTGCTTATTTCAGTCTGTCAGTGCTAAAAACCTCTAGCAGATGTTACTAGATACAAAGGACATTCCACATTCTCATACGGCAGTGGGTAAACTTCGTGTAGATGGTTTTTTTTATTATTATTTGCTCCAGTATTTCTACAATGGGAGCTGCAGTCCACCTGGGGCACCATTGGGATATAGTGTCTTAAAGGACCAGATGGTTAAAACAGCAAGCTTTGATTGCTCTTCAAGGGGTTATTTAAATCTAACTTTGCCAGAGGAGCATGACACAAACTTGAAAGGTATTGAAACGTTGCACTGAAATTCTACTTTGTTAGACTATAATGACTTCTCATATAAGCTGCTTGTTTCAAACGCTGATATGATGCAATGGTTTTACTGGTTTACTCGTAAATATATTACATTGTATTCACAGGGTATGGCACATGCAGGGTAAGGACAAATGGTTATGGACTGTAAAACAGAATGCATTTCTGTTCACTTGGCTCAGTCACACTCCCCTCTCAATGCCTACCTTTTAAGGGGACTGTTTTATTTCCTAATGAATGATTTACAGTAAGGTCAATAAAACATAGCTTGAAGAATTACACTGACAGCAGCCACTATGGCATGTTTTCCCACTGAAAATAAATGTGTGCAAATCCCTTTAAACCAAGATTACAGAGTCAACAGCAGAACTCAAGTAAATAGAAACTGGTCTGCTTGATGCAAACACAGAGGGGTGAGGGAGTCTGACTTAAAGTAAATAGCTCAAAACTGAACAAAGACAGGAATACACCCAAAACCTGTCTGGAAATATAGAAAACAGGGATACCTTCAAAGGTGATGTGTTCAGGAGCAAATTCACTTAGTATATGACTTCGTTGGTGTGATAGGATAAAATATTTAAAATGCTGGATGGTAACTATGCCAGAATGTATGGTGTGTATACCTTTAAATCTGCTATAGGCAGAATCTGTTTGGTACACACCGAATGATCTGCTTAATACAAAGTTATTGCTGAATACAAAATAACCATATAAAACCTGGTTACCTGTTATGCGTAAAATTCACACACTGTTTAAAATAGTGTGTATATTGCTTTAAGTAGTCCGTGCAAAGAACAGTATTATATTTTAATAAGGAGACATAAAAAACTCCATATTAACTGTATTAGTTATAATCACTTGAGAATTAGACAAAAAACTACAAGTGAAAGTAAAAAACCACTATTAACAGAATGTATTTAAAAAATAATATAGAAATTTATTCATCATATAAAAAACATAAAAGAATAGTCCAAATTTGGAATAAAAATATAAATACAAAAAATGGGAGCCAGGAACGATTAGCAAGTCTTTAGCCACTGCAGATCTCGCACAAATAGCTTCATCCACACTGTAACTGTTAAGGATTACAGTGGATACTATTGTATCAAAATGAAGAGAAATTACTTGCCGGCTGCTGGGGAGGTTGGCGTGCGTGCCAAACCTCACTCTGGTTCTCGGATGCTCGGCAGTCCGTCTGTCCCCAGGTCTTAGATGCCGTATGGGGGAAGGAAAGAGATGCTGCTGCTGGCGTCTGGCTGCTCCGTCGTATCCTGCTCACTAACACTGCTGGTCTAACGCGTTTCGTGGGTGCATGTCTCTGAAGAAGTGGGGCTGACACCCACGAAACGCGTTAGACCAGCAGTGTTAGTGAGCAGGATACGACGGAGCAGCCAGACGCCAGCAGCAGCATCTCTTTCCTTCCCCCATACGGCATCTAAGACCTGGGGACAGACGGACTGCCGAGCATCCGAGAACCAGAGTGAGGTTTGGCACGCACGCCAACCTCCCCAGCAGCCGGCAAGTAATTTCTCTTCATTTGGATACAATAGTATCCACTGTAATCCTTAACAGTTACAGTGTGGATGAAGCTATTTGTGCGAGATCTGCAGTGGCTAAAGACTTGCTAATCGTTCCTGGCTCCCATTTTTTGTATTTATATTTTTATTCCAAATTTGGACTATTCTTTTATGTTTTTTATATGATGAATAAATTTCTACATTATTTTTTAAATACATTCTGTTAATAGTGGTTTCTTACTTTCACTTGTAGTTTTTTGCCTAATTCTCAAGTGATTATAACTAATACAGTTAATATGGAGTTTTTTATGTCTCCTTATTAAAATATAATACTGTTCTTTGCACGGACTACTTAAAGCAATATACACACTATTTTAAACAGTGTGTGAATTTTACGCATAACAGGTAACCAGGTTTTATATGGTTATTTTGTATTCAGCAATAACTTTGTATTAAGCAGATCATTCGGTGTGTACCAAACAGATTCTGCCTATAGCAGATTTAAAGGTATACACACCATACATTCTGGCATAGTTACCATCCAGCATTTTAAATATTTTATCCTATCACACCAACGAAGTCATATACTAAGTGAATTTGCTCCTGAACACATCACCTTTGAAGGTATCCCTGTTTTCCAGCAGAACTCAAGTGTTTAAGGTTGAACAAATTTGTGAACCAACTAGTGCCCTTACTTGTACATCACAGCTGAAACAGGTGGTTCAATTAAAGAGGTAGGTAATAGGCACACAGGTTTTGAACATTTTATAAATTAACATGCGGTATAGTAAAGCATCCATATTACTTATGGAGTCTGAGAGGAGTATATAATTTAAGAAGCTTCCGTGGTATGAATCCATTCAGAACTACTGTCAAAACAGTAGTTTTAACATTCATCTTGTGGGGAATTATCTTTAGAAACATAGAATGTGACAGCAGATAAGAACCAAATCGGCCCATCTAGTCGGCCCAATTTTCTAAATACTTACATTAGTCCCTGGCCTTATCTTATAGTTAAGATAGCCTTATGCCTATCCCAGGCATGCTTAAACTCCTTTACTGTGTTAACCTCTACAACTTCAACTGGAAGGCTATTCCATGCATCCACTACCCTCTCCGTAAAGTAATACTTCCTGATATTTTTAAACCTTTGTCCCTCTAATTTAAGACTACGTTCTCTTGTTGTGGTAGTTTTTCTTCTTTTAAATATAGTCTTCTCCTTTACGGTGTTGATTCCCTTTATGTATTTAAATGTTTCTATCGTATCCCCCCTGTCTCGTCTTTCCTCCAAGCTATACATGTTAAGATCCTTTCTAGTCACTAATCTTCGTGCTACAGGAGTAGTGGTACAAAGCCTTTCTAGTTACTAATATCGGAATATAAGAAGTCCAGGCCTGTCTGACAGCAGTTACCACTTCCAATCAGGGTCCAGTGTAATAACACTTCAACCCAAAAGCAACTGTTGCTACAATGAATGAATGAATGAATCTCTAGTGACATGCACACCCAAGAATGTAGCCTCCCTCACCAGTCAGGTGGTCACTCTTGTCCCTCCGTACTCTGGAGTGATAGTTCAAAGCTTCTGTAAATAAGTATGGGATGTTCGGTAACCAATAAGCTAGTTTCCTAGGCATCTTTGGTCATTTTAAAGCAGTTATAGAAATGATCTCTTCTGGAATTGAGTGGACATTAGGTGTTAAGAAACAACAACTTGGGCAAGCAAAGCAAATAACTCCACATCTAAATGCGCCTGTTATCATGGCTGAGTCAGCAAGGTAAGTTATAATTCAAAGTTCGGGGACTCTACATTTTACTGGTACTTCATTCACTCTGAAGCAAATCTTGTTCCAAAAACAAGATGGCCAATCGGAAGCCTTGTTGTAGAACACTTACTATTCAATATGATAGGAGCCTTCTACTGATATTTAAAAGGCCACAAAACAACAATACCCAATGCTTTTACATGTGAATATGTTATTGCTCTAAAGTAAATTGGCTATAGAACATATTAAAATATCTACTTCAATCAAAGCTCTGGTAAATCCATTGAGTTAAGAGTTTGCCAAACTTTAAAACAAAAAAAAAATCTGTTATATCCTTAAAATACTGCTGGCAAGGTGTGAGATACCGTATTTCACGTTGCTTATTCCTTTGAGTCAGTTCCTGCTAGGCCACAAACCAAGAACCGGCTGGCATGTGTTTCCACTTATACGGTTATTTATCTCACATTACATACACCCTTACTTTGTCAGAGGACAATGAAAGAACTTGTGTAGTTTGTTGCAGGAAATTCTAATTTCTTGCACAAACTATGCAAAGTCGTATTATGACTTGTTCATTGAATTTTAGGACAGGAAATTACAGATTGTTACTTTATGAGTCACACAAGTAAATCATGGTACAAAAATGGATCATAAAAGGAAGTCTTAAAAATGATATCTGCAGTCACAAAAGGTAATGTGATGGAGCATCACTAGTAGCCAAGGTTAATGACTACTCAACTTTATGCTTTATGAAATGAAAAATAAAAAACTCCTGTATATTGGAGACACACTGCTACTCAACATTCTAAGTAGGTTCTATGATATCAATGTTTACAAACATGTTCAGGCATTAAACCCTACTGTAACTTCTTCTACAGCAATCTCTACACAAGGGAGTGCCCCACCCCAGACTACAAATCCCATACTTCTATGCTAGCCAGTTGTTGGAATACATTACTAACAATTTTCTGCCATGATTAGTCATCAGTATTGGAACCCTTTCAGGCATTGTTTAATATCTCCCCTCCAAATGTGGAAGAATGAGTCTCTAAATGTATTGTCCAGTAATAAGCCACAAAGAGTTGAAATTCTACATTAGTAACAATGGCCATTAATACATACACACATCTGTGAAATCTCTGCTAAGAAATTAGTTTCTAGTGTAACATCCCAAACAGAAGCTTTTGGTGCAATTTGGATTTTTTCCGGATATTAAAACGGAGCTAGTTTGCCCCCATTAATACTGTTGTAATCAATAACCTGACAAGCATGAACTTTATCCAGCTCCGCTTGTTACAGCAATCTATAGGTATAACTAGCAAGGTCTAATTAATGGAACACTCCATTGGATTTTTTTGTGACAAATTAGTAGATATAATGAAAACTTGCATTATTTCTGCATTCTTTTAATAGGGATATATCTAAAGCCTGCTAGTAAAAGCTGCTTATCTCTTGTTTGCAGCCTTTGCAAGCCCTCACCTTTTTATTGGGCACAGACTTCTAGTTTGTGCTGGGGAAAATACTCTATTTATCTCACAGAGAAGAGTCTTATTTTAGTCTGTGCTGGAGGTGCAAACACAAATGTATGGGAGCACATGACAGTATCCAATTCTTCAAAATGAGCTGCAGAATAGCTCATTGAGAACGAAGGAAGGCAGGTGAAGGCTTGCATAATGTGTCTGCCACTTCCTTTAGCTCTGTGGCGCTAACGACAGAGGTAGAAACCTCCCTGGCTTTCTGACTGACAGGCAGGGAGGTGTTTCAACCTACAAATATAACAATTACCATTTATTTCGAAATAGGCACTTTGAAGCCGGTCACATTTGTGACAGTTAACCAAACACAAAGAACTTCATCATAAACATATGTATTTAGGATTTATCATAAAATACTTGCAAGTAAACATTTAAAGGGACACTATAGTCACCCAGACTACTTCAGCTCAATGAAGTGGTCTGGGTGCCAGGTCTCTTTAGGGTTAACCATGCCTGCTGTAAACATAGCAGTTTCAGAGAGTTTGGGGTTAAGTCAGCCTCTAGTGGCGGTCTTCCGGACAGTCCATAGGAAAGCATTGAGAAATGATTTCCTATGGCCACTTTGAATGCGCGTGCGACACTGCCGCACATGCACATTCTGCTCCGCTGACGTCAGGTAAGGGAGAAGGTGAGTAACTGAAGGGGTTTTAACCCGGGAGCACCATGGGAGGGGACCCTGAGGGGGGGGCACCCTCAGGGTACTATAGTGTCAGGAAAACTGATTTGTTTTCCTGACACTATAGTGATCCTTTAAAGATAAAATTGTCCAATATTTGATTTTAGTATTTTTTTATATAAAATAAACTAATCTGTTATTTTTCTGTCAAACGGCTATCAATGACTTACTTTACATGTGAGACCCAAGTAATCATTTAAGTTTTGTAATCTTTCTACATAAGAAAGTCATGCATAACATTATATTATATTACCGGTATTTAAAATGTTTACAGCGGATCATGTGACATAAAATAGAATCAAATGAAATACATTGTAAGCCTCTTACCAACTTTACAAAATGCCTCCCTAAGTTCCTCCAGCTCGTCTTTGGAAATGTGTGTTGTGTGTGCCATTGCGGATGGCCAGAGGCACCTAAAAACCATAAATATAGATGTAAAGATTACATACATGCATGTATTACATAGTATCATTAGCCACTAATGAGAATCACAGCAGTACACTAGGTGCAATATACAAAATAACCCAATATTGTACACCACGCATTTCTTACCAGTCTGATACAATTATGCTCCAGGTAACAGACAAGTGAGAGTACATTCTGTAAATTGTGTGTTAAATGTCTGCATACAAAGTGCACCAACAGTGTCCGCTGACTCATTCTATGGCATGTGTAATCAAAGAAATTACCACATACCTCAAATCTCATAACAGTGACACAAAGGGGCAATTGTATTTAAAGGAATTCTGTGGAAAATTGTAAAAATCAATATGAATATTCCTTGGGGTCTCATGATGATCAATCTACTTTAAGAACTATGATTGATTGAACTCTTCATCTTTTATTTGGTTACCAAACAGATTCAGAACAGGTTTGATAAAATCACCACTGTCAATGTAAGGTGCACTAAGTGTCCACATATTAGCACTGTGTCTATATATGACATTTTAACAATCCTGCAGAAAAATCCACAATATTTAGCCTCTATAAAATGTCACACATTTCTGTAATCATGGATAACGTAAGATAGATAGATATTTAAAAAAAAAAAAAAAAATTGTTTTAAAAATCACTTCTGGGTGATTCACTAAAGTTTAAACAAAGCTATCTAGGTTCAAAAGATGGGTTTGTCAGAACTCTAATCACCCAGATACTTCAGTTGATCAATTTAACAGGTTTACTCACACTGTAGACCAATTTAAGAAACAATCAATCTATGGATTGATAAATAAGTTCTAAAATTATGGTGATTATCTGACATTTCTTGACCTATGATTTCATTCTTGTTTCTGTGATTTTCTATTTTCTGAAACCCTTGCTCATCCATGATTTTCTTAGTTAATCTGTTATAGAGCTGTGCCATTTCACCTGTATTAGGCAACACATTACATACAGTCATGTTATACTACATTTAATCTGTATAGATTTCCTGGTTAGCAATTCCTTGCACTTTGGGGTCTTTAGTATATGTTAAAGGGATTTTGTGAAATATAAATATGATAATGTCCACATAAAATAAAAATTTGAGTCAATTCGAGTGAGTGTTCCATAAATTAATCCAAAGTAGTGGGAGTGAGGACGGGTGTGAAGCTAGCCTACAGGTCTACATTCTCGCAATGATACATTAATATTCCTAACATTTAAGTTTCAAAAATAAAGAATGACAAGTTATAAAACAGGGGGTCATTGAAATATGACAAAAGGAATATGACAAAAGTTTGACTCCTGACAGATTGCATATCAGCTAAAGAAGACAGAGCAATCTGGTGGCAGGACTCCCACGTCTTAGGGCTGACAGTCAATTTTGCTAGAGTGTAACAGAACAAATCATTTTCTCTTATGTACAGTTGAAGTCAAAATAAATAAAATAAAATTCGCATTTGGTATGAATTTTAAATATTGCCCCATTTTTGGCCAATAAGAGTCATCAGTATTTTAACAATGAAAGTCAATTCATATGATTTTTTTTACGAATTTCCAAAAACACCAAGATTAGAGATGTCGCGAACTGTCCGCCGAACTGTCCACCGGCGAACAATAGCATGTTCGCGTTGGGCGAACATATCCGATTTCCGATCCGCCCCCATACGTCATCATTGAGTAAACTTTGACCCGGAACCTCACAGTCAGCAGACACTTCCTGGGAGGGAAGGTCTGCTGCTGATTGGGTGGAATGTGTCTGCTGGCTGTGAGGTTCCGGGTCAAAGTTTATAGGGGGCGGACCGGAAATCGAATATGTTCGCCCAATGCGAACACGCTATTGTTCGCCGGCGGACAGTTCGCGAACAGTTCGGCAGACAGTTCGCGACATCTCTAACCAAGATATTATTCCAGTTTATGCAGGACATTTTATTTTCAATATTGGGCTTTTGGAGCTATCAATGCAAGGATAAGACAAATATAAAGCACTTGTATGCCTAGTTATAGAAATGTATAATGTTCTCTGGACAATATATGTGGATAGATCCAGAGGCAAAGCTTAATGGGGGAAGTACAGAAGCATGCCTTTTACTGAGCAAAACACCTTTTTTTAATAGGAAATAGACACATGAGAATCATAATGGACATTATATTACTTATTCCACAGTTACTAGTTTTAAGAGAAATATATACAGGCACTCACACACAAATATTTGACCAGAACATACCTTAGTGTAAATTCTTGAAGTCTGTGTCAAGTTCAAATTTCACCTATAAAAAGAAAATAAATAAAAGTAATGAGCAAGCAGAACATAAAACAATGAAAGTTATTTAAAAATTTGTCTGCAGCAACTTCACAAAGAATGTGCTGGAATAGGCAGAGCTAAACTGAAAAGAGTAACCGAGATTGAATTATTACATTTCAAATGAGCTGACTTTTAAAAATAATATATTTTTTAAAATTGCATATTTTAACAAAATTCCACACACATATATACTCTAACAGGGTTAGCAGATGCAAAAATGTCTGGAAAGTTTATTTGAATGGCTGCGTACCGGGTCGAGTGAATATAATTTATTCTGCCTATAAGTTAAAATGAAAAGTTTTATTTACAAGGATCTGGTTTAATTACTACAACAGGAGGTCAAAAGACAAACTTCACGTTCATTCAGATTTTATAAATAAAACACAGGCAAATAATTCTTATTGAAAAAGAGGGTAATAGGCGCTCACTATAATATTGAACAGAGGATGTAAAGCAGGCAGAAGTAAACAATACAAGGATTCCCGAACCTTGTTGGTACATACAACACAAGAAACAGCATAAACCATGCCCAAATATATACACACAAGTTTTCAACGCATCAAGTGGGACTTCAAGTATATATTTCTTTCTTTTGCATCAATCAACTGCTTCCTGGTACCAACACATCCTTAGGTGGGAATTAAATCACCAATGCCGGTTACACTAGAGCAAGTTCTGCTCTAGCAAATGTGAGTACAATACTTTACCAACTTGTAATTACTTCACCACTGGAGTTTTTTTTGCATTTGCTTCCACATATGCCCTGCACATTGCACCTTATCTGAAAGACCTGTGGGGACCATACCAACGTATATTCTTAGACAGGGATTGTTCCGTCCATGCGCAAATCAGCAGAGCTCTGAATTAGCTCATAAGAATGTGAGTGATCACAACATTTAACTACCCACCACATATACGTTACACTTACTGTATTGCACTATCATTTTGTCTTTGTTTCTTTTTGAGGTCCATTGTACTAAACATTTGGAAACCTATGTACGTATAACTGTTTGTATATTTATTTTGGGCGCGGTTTACTCTTTCTTGTATTTAATCATTCTTATTGATTACAATAGGTGAATTTACAACTCAATTAGGAAATTTTGGTTGTGGAAATAATGCATGAATTGACACACACACACACTTTGACAAGCCAATAACACAAACCTATGCAATCAGATGATGATCCCTAGGTCAGATAATGGCTATATACAGCCATGTATACTGTAGCAAAGCTATTGATCCCTTCAACTGTGCGTAAAGTAGAAATCATAGCACAAAATACAATTTAGGTGGAGTATGTGGACGGCAGGGTTTCTACTTCCAAATTTTTAAGTACATTGCTAGGACACCACACAAGAGCGGACAACCACTTATTTGAAGACAGACAATTCTAAGGCTACTCAATGTAATAGGCTGCAATAAACGTCTAATTTCATTTCACTGAAGGAACACAGAAACAATGCAGGTTACTAGATAGAACAGGTGGTACTGGACCTGCTCTACCTAAAAATAGACTGTATATCTGTATCGAGAATTTATTCTCTTTTAAAGTTCACACCGCATGGAATTCAAGCAGACCAAGATAATCATAAATAATGACATTTGAAAAAGAATTTACTGAAATACTAAAATCTAAACACACCCAAACAGCTTAAAGGAAATACTTTGTCTACCTGCCAAACCATTCTGAAGCAGTCAGACTGAACTCGGAATGACTATTTCTGTGTTTATTCATTAATTGTGTGCTACACTCATCCATGGAATCATTTTACAGTTCCTATTCTGCACTGTTGATTAAATGTGAATGGTTCTGAGCCGACTACAAGGATAAATACAATGTCAAATGTCTAGGGCAATGCAGAGCATCTAATGAGGAACTCAACGTTCTACACAAAGTATACAAGGAGGCTGACAATGATTACTCTGCCCTGGTCTGAAAACAGGTCTCTTCAAGTCTGAGCATACACATCCTACATTCCTTGCCAACAATCCTACAAAGAGTACAAACAATATAATGAGTACATTAAGCAACACAGTTATTTCTGAAGACTTTCAAATTGGCAAGATTTAGAAGACTAAAGTTTCATGATGAGAAACAAGAGCTTATGAGAAACATGGAGAGGTTTATAACATCTATCCAGGCACTAAAATGTAAAATTGTTATATTGTGCAATTTAGATGTTTATTGACTTCATGCTCTCAATGCCTATGACCAAACACTTTTCAACATGAAGAAAGAAGTACAGCACGCTTTAAATGACCTTTATCGACCTTGATCAAGCACCATTGTCCAAGCATGCATGTCTACCTCTACGCTATAGTGTCCTCTGTTTAGTTTACTAGCTACTCTTCTGAATGCATGGAAAAGTCATTTTCTTCCCTTTTCTCCCATGCTGCAATGCTCGATCGACAGCAGGTCCCACGCCTATGGCGAGATAGAGACTGATTATCTCAGCCAATCAAATGCTTTTCGATCGGAAAGCAGTAAGAAGCTAGTGTGCATGCATAGTAAAAATGCCATGCTGCAACAATAAGCTGCCAATAGCATTCCTTTAAGTGTATAAAACTTTTTTAGCCATACCCAGATGTCTCATGGAATGTCTTAAATCCCATTTAAAAGGTTACATTTTATGTACTCTGCTAAACATAACACATTTGTTATTATGCTGATTTTTCCCCCTCCATCCTGGCTCCATCTTAATCACTGGGTACAAATGCATCTATCTTGTAGTCATATCAAATCAGGAAAGGACAAATACATATTATAAAGCTTTTGCCTGAAGAGAAAAAAAAAAAAAAAAACTTAATATATTCAATTAAAACAAACCTTTTACATGGTTTATTGAAGCACCATAAGCACTTCACTTATTTGAAGTGGTCATGGTGCCAGGAGTCTGTGCAGAGTTTCGCTGTGAGTTTGACACTCCTGCTGTTGGAGGTGTAACTTTTCACTTTCAGAAGCGTCATTGAGGTATCGCCAATGAGCCCAGAGCAAGAGTATAGCAGTGGCTATGCAGTAGAATTTTGCATACATTGGCAGAGATTGGTAGCGTATATATGTAATTACATGACCCACTATTGTGACGTGCTAAAAGAACTAAATTGGCGGTCACTGGAATCCAGGCGCACCCTTCAACTTTCTGGCCTTATGTTTAAAAGCTTTTATGGGAAGCTCCGAGTCCCGCCCTACCGGAGCAGAATGCTCTCCCCAGCTGTTCCCACCTCCAATAACCTCCGATCCGGTACCAGCACTTTATTTAGTCTGCCTCAATACATAAAGAAAGCGGCTCTATTCACCTTTTCCTACAGAGCGCCGCAATTATGGAACGACCTCCCACACACTTTAAAATCTTCCCCAAGCCTAAAGTTCTTCAAGAGATCCCTCTCTACACATCTCAAAACAGAATTTCCTACCTGCTTTATGTTAAATTTTGTATTAATATTGTTTTTGTATTTTATTGTACCCTGTTGTATCAATGCAATGCTTTGTGGACCCAGGTCATACTTGAAAACGAGAGATATCTCAATGTATCCTTCCTGGTAAAAATAACACACACACACACACACACACACACACACACTTAAAGAGGGCAAACGTTTTCTAGATTATTTGCCATTACCAGGGAATGTCGCCAAGGTACTGCTATCATAAAAAGTATAGCAGGCTGTATTTGTTAACGTGTTTGAAGTAACCCTTTAACAATGGATGCGCTGGGCTATATTAACATTATATGTTCTAAACCTATAACGGTAAGTGTTTATATTAATAGCGAGATATTTTGTTTTTTTAAAGTACTGCGATTAACTCAAGGCAGCAACTTTTTCACATCCCTAAAAATGCCATAGTGTATATAATCAAAAGAGTACAAAGAAATTATATTTTACGGCAGGTTTTCTAGCAATTTGCCTAAACGCATGCTGTGTCATGACCTGTGCACTTATGTTTAATATATCAACAAATATAAAAAGGTAGGGGTGGACTTTGCCAAGATCGTTCATGTGTTTATAATAGATGATCTCTCAGAGATAAGACATTTAGAAAAAGGGATTTCATGTAAGGCTGGGGGAGTATCACGCAGACAATCTATTTATCCTATATATTTCAAAGGCATTTGAGAACAAAAAGGAAAAATGTCTTTTAAATGATAAATCATATGAATGTGTTTTATGCATGATAGGTCCCCTTTAAGAAGTTGAACTACATCCCTTTAATTACTGTAAGGAGAGTAGTCAGGGAATGGGAGATATGATTTTAGATATGCGTTCTATTGTAGAATCTTGTATTTTAGTATAGTTTTGCTAATAACAGAAAGTGAAATCTTGCCCTGATTGCGTTTTTGTTTGTTTGTTTTTTTAAAGAGACCTACAACAAACTTCTAGGCGTTAAAGAAAAAGTTAAGCAGACAGATGTGACACACAAAATATTCTGCTTCCAAAGTAATGCCCACTATGCCAAGCACTACACACACACACATTGCCCATATAACCAGTCCCCAAAAGGCACTGTGTAAGACATTTACATTTGAGCGGTCTAACATAGTGCTAATGTAGATTTAACATCCCCTCTATTGGTTTCAAGCATCCCTCTGCCCACAATTCTGCTAATTACATTCTCCTATTCACTACTTAATAGCGGTCCTGTATTCTCCTGAGCTCATTTTCTAGACAAGGTCTTGGTAAAATAAGGAAGAAAGAAAGTTGATGAGAATGAATCCAAATCACATCCAATAAACCTGGTTACAGAAGAGCCAGGATACGAGATCATTTAAAGATGGATACAGGCTATAAGAACAACAAATATCATTCCAAGAATGAATGGCAGGAAGCTCAACATGAGTAGCATTCTTTATAATAAAAAAAAAAAAAAACTGCAGACAAAATCCAGGCACTTAGAAGCTATTCAATGAATAGTTTTCTTCATTACATATTTCCTCCCAATCGTTTAAAATATTTTTAAAAAATTAAATATGTACAAACATCTTTCTAATCGTTTTTTTTAACACTTCAAAAGGCATAACTGCAGCAGGTGGGAAGTTACAGAATAAAGCATCTGTTGAGAACAAGTCTTATTAAAGAATATTTAAATGCATAAAGCCCAACTCTTTTATAAAACTACACACATACATAGCATGCATATCTGTACCTGAGGTAGACCGGCTTCATGATGAACAAACTGAAACTGGACAGATTTAAAAAGCCACAAATGTCTCAGGGCGTTTCCCTGTGAGCTCACTGCAGCAAATAAAGACAAAAAGAGAATGGGCACGCCTTGGTGTACTCACATAGGTAAGGTACAGGAAGGAGCACATACAATTATAGCTCTGCCGTAAACCTAGAAAGTATCAGTGCAGACTGTCTGTCTTGGACAGGCTGGTTACCTTCACGTAGGTTAATAGGAATTGTAACTTCTTTTACTAGCAGACCCATTGGGAACATTCATTGTTGGACACAGAGAACCGGGTATTCTATAGTAATAAAAAGTTTACATGGTGGACTACCTGGGTGATGACCAACAAATAGGCCCACCAGGTGTTGTGCAATTATGGCTCTCAATAAGGACAATGTTGCATCCTCTAACCCAGGGGTGCCCAAAATGTATATCACCAGATCTTTTAAAACTACAACTTCCATGATGCTTTGTCATTCTAAAAGCATTCTAAAAGGCATGCAAAGCATCATGGGAGTTGCAGTTCTACAACATCTGGGAATCTACCTTTCGGGCACCCCTGCTCCATCCTACTGGAAATGTATCTACTTAGATGTACCGTATGTTCTCAGCAATATACAACCCTGGACAATCCAAATTATTTATAATCGTGATTTAAAACATTTTTAAAAAACATCTAGTGGAGGAATTAAAAAAATAATTATTTGGTTGCTTTTGGTGTGGATGGGCTCTAAAGGGAATTAAAATGTCAAAAAAATATATTAAAAAAAATATATTAAAAAAAATATATATATTATATATATATATATATATATATATATATATATATACACACACACACACACACACACACACACACACACATTTAAAAAAAATAAAAATTAGTAAACGTTTAAAATGTTTTCTTTTTTTTTTTTAAAGAAAAATTCTTGTAATAGAATTATGCGTGGAAACATAGATCCCAAAGTATTTGAGCTTTCTTATGTACACATAATTTTCTCCACTCACTGTTCTTCACTCGCTGATATTAGTAAATTCTCAATACACCTCATCTATAAATATTAATCTTTTGCATTGATTTCATTGAAAGACAACTACTAAATATTGGCTTAAAGGGACACTGCAGGCACTTTTGCAACTTAATTTTAATAAATTTGACATAGTGACTGTAGCCCTGCTCCCCTCACCTACCTCCCAAAACCCTGTAGTAAACCAATTAGAGGTCTTAAAAGCACGCCTCCAAGCCCTCTGGATATGAGAGCTAGGAACCTTACTACGCGTTTTTTTCTATGATAAGCAGTAGATTGGACCGTTATCCTGAAGGAACACCACCAGCATTATCACCATCGAGGAGGAGGTCACCGCAGAGCCGAGGGAGACTCAGCACTGAAGATAGGGTGAGCAATTCATTTTAATTTACTTGATTTTGTTTTTATATTTACATGCGGGATCGACCTAAGTTATAAGGGGCATCAGGGCTGTAGCATTAGGAATACATATATATGTATTCCTTTAAAACAACTGTGCCGATTACCTTTTCATCCAGATATGCTATTGTTTACTTTTGCCCTCAAGTGACACAATTGTTTCTCTTTGTATAGGAAGCAAGCACAGACAGGGCAGACAGCGCCACACAAATTGTTCTAATGAATGCGTGAACCCAAGGTTGAATTTAATCAAAAGAATTACAGTTGGTTCTTTTTATTAAAAGAACTCCATTACCAAACTATACTTCGTATCCACCCAGCCATTTCCAATTTTTGTCCAAGCGATTTTTATTTTAAAACAAAGCATGTCGCATCACCTGTTAAAAGGAAGAGACACTATTTTTCTCTCAGGGGATTTCATCTTAATCCTGAGCATTTCATTTTTATATATTGAACTAGCAAATAGCCTTACAGGTTAGGGAGATGATTAGGAACGGTTCCACCATCATAGACAAAATATTTTCAGGTGATTTTACAAAACCCACATGATTCTCTGGGAACCCAAATCCATATATCCTAAGCTTTATATTTCATAAAGGAGGATATTTCTCACCCTCATTATCTGCACAAATGTTGTTTGGCGTCTATATTGTGAGAGTAAGCGCCAAAGAACAAATGTAAATGTGACATTTTAGATACAAATGCAGACGGCTCAGATATACATAAAGTAAAAGATGATCCCTTGATATAAAAGCTTCAAAAAAATGCAAATACAACAAAACGTGAGCAGTTGCTAAGAACTGTGACTTGGGAGATGTCATACATAAATGCCTATTCAAATTAAACAATATCCTCTGTCCCACATTTGGTTTTTAAGTAATCCAAGTTTACACAGTCTGACGTAGTGTCTCAGACTAAAATTCACCTTAGATTTAAAAAGAAACAAACATAACAGACAGCACAATCTCCGAACATATGCAACACTTGCACATTTATTTGGAGGAAAAAATACATTCTCCCTCACTGGATGGGTATCCAGGTGTAGTTTACCAAGTACATGGTGATTATTCCTACTAATTTGTAAAATGATGTTGAAATAGAAGTGTAGTTCCACAGATCTGCTCCTCCAGGGTCCTGACATCAAGTAATCTGCAAGGAGCTTCTACAACCAATCAAAACACAGACTTCTTTCAACTATGTATTTTATCATGCAGTTCGGCTTTTTCTTTATATTGCATCATGAGATTATATCTCCCATAAAGAGAGACGGAGATGACAACATGCAATAACAATTTGAATTCTTTCATGTAGGTGTTCACATGATTAAAGAAGATTGTTGACCCGCATTCAAATTATGGATTTCAGATTTTCATTGCACACAATCCACTTATAAAAAGGTCACAATGTTTCTATATTGTACGCATTCCATGCAGTCACACCTCAACAAAATGGTTTAGAAAAATACGATCATCTTCAAAATACCAAATTCACATCACAAATTACACAAACTTCCTTATAAAAAACAAAACAGAAGGGGGAAGGGGGGAGAACACTTTTTTGTAGAGAGCGGAAGGAGAGCACTGGAGAGCAGTGACAATGGGTGAAACTGTTTGACATTCAGCCATTCTAGTTATTCTACTTCCCCCGCAGGAGTTGTACTGTGAGAAGGCACGCACACCGTACAGGTTCCTGCTGTGAGACATCCACATATGACATCATCAGGAAGAAAGAGGAAATCTGTATTCCTAACATTATAGTGTCCCTGTCCTAATTCTCCATGTGTAATAAGAATGAACCCCTTTAGGAAATAGCTCCAGAAGTAAAAGGCCAGCATGACAGAAATTGGGTTAAAGGATTTTTTATCTGTACTTGCCTTTTTCTCACCTCTGTCTACCGTGACATAAAACAAGAGCATTGAGGACCTGATGTGCACGCTCAGCTAGTGCCGCATGGGCATCCAAGCTTCACCACAGGAAATCATTGTATTCAATGTTTTCTTATGGGCTTTTGCGTCACGTTATCGAGTTTTACTAGTCAGAGCAGCATAAGCAGCTCTAATGGCTTTCAGTATGAGAAAATATATAAAAAATAAAAAAACTGTTTTACATTACAGGGTAAAAGGTCCACTATAGGCACCCAGACCACTTCAGTTTAATGAAGTGGTCTGGGTGCCTGGTCCAGCTAGGTTTAACCGTGCCAGCTGTAAACATAGCAGTTTCTGAGAAACTGCTATGTTCACCTATGGGTTAATCCAGCCTCTACTGACTGTTTCATTGACATCCGCTAGAGGCGCTTCCACGCTTCCCCTTCCTCCCCCTTCAGCTCGGCGGGAGTGGGACCCTGAGGGTGGGGGCACCCTCAGGGCACTATAGTGGTCCTTTAAAAAGGACAGGGTGCTTAATTGAGATAAAGTGGTCTGAGGGACTATAGTGTCCCTTTAAAGACACCATCACAAAATGTAGAAACTGCCTAAACAAGTATAACACACACTATTCTCATGCAGACCCTGAGGCGCCAAGAGATTTAAGAAAACTCTGTTCTAATCCTAATGTTAATTTTTTTTTTTTTTTTTTTTAAATGTTACCATAACAGTCACAAATACATTGTGTTCATTCATTAGTATTACAGAATGCAGTTTATTAAAGGGTTACTCCAGTCATCATAACCACTGAAGCCTACTGTAGTGGTTATAATGCCAAAAGTACTCTGGCCCAGTTTCTCGGTAAAGGAGCAAACTGTTTAGCAACAGTATTCCAAGGCTACCTGGAGGTCTGGCGATGTGTTTCTGCTACAGAGCTACAGAAGCGAAAGCGGCATCCAGTCATTGGCAGAGGGTGTCAGCTGACTTCTCCCAGCCAGTGAATGGCATTATGTGCAATAAGAGTTGCCCATAAATTACATTAGCCAGTCTGATACTCCAGTTCCACGCTTGCTGATGAAATCACAATGACACTGTTTATACCTCCTATACCAATGGCAAAGGACTTTAACTCCCTGTGTGCAGCATTTCATAGTGAAACACTACACAAAGACTCCAGGCACCATGACCACTTCAAATCACTGACATGATCATGATGCTTGGCGTAACCCTTTAACTACATGTTGAAAGGTCGAATTAGTAATTGGTATTGGCTTATTAGCCACCACTATCACATCATGCCAATGTACTTCATTAACATCCCTGTACACATTAAAAGCAATATAGACTGTAACATTGCTCAGAAACCAGATATACTTTCATTGTAATGTATGGTACAGAAGGAGGAGATCAAGAAGGTTAAACGAATACTATAGTGTCAGGAAACTGTATGCCTATCACTATAGTATCACTCTGCCTCCATCCCCCCTACCTCTGGCAAGTGGAGGGTTTAAAAACCCCTTTATTTAACCTACCTTATTCCAGTGCAGAGGTCTCCTCCTTCCGCAACCTCACGGCAATGGAGGACTAATGCACATGTGTGGCGAGCACCACACGGGCATCAGGCTTTCTCTATAGGAAAGCACTGAATCAATGCTTTCCTATAGGGATTTTCAGAACGCTGGATGTCCTCATGCAAGGGGTGAGAACGTCCACTAGAGGCAGTCTTTACCCTACGTTGTGAACATTGCAATGTTTTACATTGCAGGATGATGAGCACAGACACTGCATCTGGACCACATCTATGAGATGAACTGGTGTGGGTGCCTGTAGTGTCCATTTAATTAGGGTTTACAGCTGCTTAGTGCCATGATCACATGTACAAATACAGAATCATCACAGAGCAGACATGTCACTTACTGGAGCAGTGGAAGGCTACATTTCAATAATTAAGGATAGAGCAGAATGGTTTCTACCCAACATAGTAAAATAACAGGAACTCCCAAAGGCAAATATGATACACCTCTCAGAAATGGTGAGCTTACTATAAAATGCCTTGGTTTAGGGTTGTCCACCAATACTTAAAGGGCTCTCCCAGAAATTATATAAAAAAGTGGTCAATATCATTTCTGGCCTATATTTTACGATGTTGAGAATATGGCAAAGTAGTTTTGCATTTAATACGTTGTTTTTTTTAATCTTCAAGTTAGACATAGCATGATTTATCAGCCATTATTAAATACACAAGTAGAAGAACAGCTGTGGAATGTAAATACAGATAAACACATGAAGAAGAAGCTGGGAAAAAGGTGAGAGTAGAATACTAGAGAAATATTTTCTACGCAGCTTCGATGGGACTGCCTCGTTTCGACTCAAGAGTAATCTAATTCCAGGAACATCTACACTACTGCTAATAACTATTCTTACTACATAATTAATGCCCGCATGAAAGAACATTGTGAGGTGGATAGACATTATCCATTTCCCAGCACTAAGACAAGACAAACACTATAGAACCAAAGCTTATAGATCCTCTCCCTAACTAGATTCTAAATGGAGAGAAACATAGCACATTAAAAATAGATCAGGACACAAGGCGTTCCCATTAAGGTTATAATCCAGACATAATGCAAATTACGCACATACAGGCCCAGTGATTAGACACATTGCCTCCAGGGATAATCGCAGGACACATTGAAGCATGTTTTTGTTCAGAGTAATAGTTCTCCACACAGAACCAGCACACACCTTTATCTGATGCTACAGTGTAACTATAATGGGATAATGTACGATATATTAAAATAAACAAACCACCTTGTTGTCATTTACATCATTTTATCTGCTGCTCTTCCCAGAAGCCTTTAGAGCAAGGTAAGTTCCGTTTATGGTAGAACAGTTTCCATGACTCTTGGTCTGCCAAGAGCTGAGAATCTATTCACTGGGCCATAACTGTTTGGGAGTACCCTGTTCTCTTGAGTAAAATCATCCCCCCAAATGTCATCTCACCTGTTACATGTTATTCATATCCATTATCTGCTGGGTTGTTTTACCGGCCCAGTTTGTTAGTTTAAATTAACAATCTTGTTATACATGGTAACTGTCTGAAACCGCAACAACGTCTTTTCAAACAATTGCTTAGAATTTTTGTATTTCCTACAGTGGGTGGGACACCTTTAACAAAGTTAAAAAAAAGAAATAAAAAAAAGGAAAGGAAAGTGAACCCTCAACATGCTAGGACTCTTTGGTAACATGCATTCTAAAGATAGTCTGTTCAGGTCAGTCTAAGGGTATTGCTAATTTCTCTACCGTATAATTAAACTTGCTACACATATCATTATATGATCGTGGTTGGGGGAAAAAACCCAGCCTTCTAAATAGACCTTAGGGACCACTGAAGGACAACAATGTTTAAAAAGGAAACATTTCTAAAAATAAATCCTAATTACAAAGTGGATAATATCAGGGGGGGAGAGGGGAGGAGAAGGGGGTGTTTTGTTTTTTTTACTTTCAAAGCTTTCAGGTTTACAGAGCTATGTCACAAGGTTTTATTCAAGCCACTTAGGAGTAGTGGATACATGGCCAGACTTCCCACAAGGCCAAAGCCTCGTGGCAGGCGTCATAAAATGCAAGCAAGGTCGGTAGGGAGATCAGAGATCTTCCTCACTGCCCAGCCCATTCTCCTGCCATGGGGGCCAGCACTCAGTTACATTAGGGTTAAATACATCTCTGTCTTCCTAACAGCCACTAAAGGCACTTCACCTGTGAGAATTGAGTCAAACTCTGTTCTCACAGCTGACCTCCAATAGGAATGCAGTTATGACTGAGCAGGAACTTTTCATCATCAATGATCCTTAAGAGGCTGGCTTGGATGTTGCTCAAAAACAACTGGAGAGTCAACCATTCATTTAGGTTACCTCCATAACACCTCTATGGTGTTATTTTCAAACAATGCATCTCTCAGTTTATGTTTATGTAATCCCTTTCATTCTAAATTCTTTTTATGCCAAGGTGTCATTCCCCGTTGCGATTGCAGAGATGAAGAGATCGCCTCAAACTCTACAGTGACTTTGGCAATTGGGAACGTATTACCACAGGCAACATGCTACAGTACAGTAATATGTCATCATGGCTTTTCCTACAGCTTTACATAGATTTTGCATGGTTTATGAGTGAGACTGTGGTTTGGCAGTCTAACGCGTACAGAACCCAACGCACGGTCAGACTATGCAAACCCTGGAATGAGTGTGTGTAGAAAACTCTCCCCGAAGTATGCAGGTTAATGCAGACAGACACTTTTCCAGGCACTGTTAATAGGAACTGTGGCAATGAAAGCTATATGATCACAAGGGAGTGATTTTTAGACCTGAAAATGATCAATGAAACAAACAAGTAAAATTAAACACCCCCTTCATAAGAAATTTGGAATATAATACACTAAATATTATGGTTATCATAAAATCGCAACTTTTACATAAACCTTTGAAGTTGGTTATAACAGGTTGAGGATATCTTTTTCTAAAAAATTAGGTTACAGAAAAACCAACAGTTCAACCGGTATCCCATGAAGAGATAATTCACAGTTCAGGATCTTATTGGTCTATAGCTTACACATAGTTTGCAGCAAATGTTATGTATTACTATTATTATTTATAAAGCGCAAACAAATACCACAGCGCTGTACAATGGGCAAACTAACAGACAAGTCGAACGAACAGTAACAGAGGTTGAGGGTCCTGCTCAATGAGTTTACATGCTAGAGGGAGTGGGGTATTGTGACACAAAAGGTAAGGGTAGGGTAGAAAAGAAGGTTGCTAGGATAATATTCATGGAGGGCTTCGTGTTTTTTTTCTATAAAAGTAATTTTGATCTATTTTCTCATTATCAAGGCATAGGTGAAATATGGTAAATAAAGCTTTGCCATTTTCAAAAGCAAATTCAGGATCTGAAAGGTGATTTAGATGAGCAGTGGTGTTACTAGCAGAGGAAACTACCTCATACGTTTTTGGATAGCGACCAAGCCACCTCTTTGCTTCCTCAGCTAACCTGCAGATGCCAGCGCCTCATTGATGAGAAAGTAATCCTTACAATGGGTTTTAAATAATTAAAAAGAGTACATCCTTTGTGTGAAACAAACAGGATGATATTTTAGAGATCGGTTAAAGAAAGAAAGATGAAGAGCAGATATTTTTACTACATTAAATTTTCCAAAGCATGTTATAAAATCAATGGCTGCCCACACCACTGGCTCCTCTCCACCTTCCACCCAATCATTGCAGTATCAGGAAGGCTTGCTGGGTGGCCAGTGACAGGCTGTGTGTAACAGCTTATTACTGGTTGCACACTGATACAAATAGTAAGTTTGTAAGAAGGTGCTTCAACACTCCTAAACTCTAACAATTAACAACTTAATTGAGCTGAAGCAGTTAAAAACAACAAAAAAACACAATAGATTGCTATAATCATACAAACTAGGATGGATTCTTTAAGGGTTTAAAAAAATAAAACCAACAAACATTCTTTGATGGAAACTCAAGCTATATCTCGAAACAAAGACCGCTCTTCTGCCTGGTAAAAATATGTGCCAGGGTACTGCAACATTCACTTCTTTTTGTAGTTTTTCTGTATAGATTACTATAGACTACTCCAAGCTACAAGAAACAAACACCCAGACACACACATATGGCACTCCCTTTTTTTAATATCTGGATGACACATGTTGCACAAGCACTTCTGTGGTATACAAACCAGAAACAACCACACCTCAGCAACAATTTAATTTAGTAGCCAATAGCAATACATTTCAGTCGGGCGATTCAATATTTTCCCCAATATCAGATTATTAAAGAAACACTCCCAGAAAAGTACCATACCACTACTGCTTATTGTAGTGGTTATGGTGTCAAGGGTGCCATAACTCGCATAAGGAGTCAATTGATTTATCAAATTTTTTAATTCTGTCCAGGCACCATTCCTCGCCTCGACAACCAATGCCAGAGAGCTACAAGCATTAAGTTACATGATTGTTAAAAGAAACAAAAAATACAACTCATTTATCTTAGCCAAGTCATCCCCTGTACATAGAAAAACCATGTTGGCTATATATACTCTCTCTCTCTCTCTCTCTGGATACATACCTTTATATTTTAAATTGGCCCAAGTGGCTATCTGAAAAATCTGTATCTGTAGATATAACAAAATGTAAGAATAATGAAAACTCGAAAATTAACTTACACATATTTGACCAAAATAGCCAATAAGGGAACATTTACTCCTAAAATTTACACACAACCTGGACAAAATTTATATAGGCAGCCAGCTCCTTGATTGATAGATTTAGAGTGCAGTCTCATAACCGCAGCAACGTTTACCAATCTCTGCAGTACTAAGTCACCCTTCTAAGAGTGGAGGCAAGGTACTATGCGCACAAGAAAACTAGGCAACAGTGCAAGGTTGTCTTGGAGCTTAAAGATGTCCTTCACGAATAACATTGAAAGATACAATGACAGTCTATGAAAACATTATATTTAAAATTATTATTAAAATTGTAGATTTGTTTTTTCCCCCTTGTGCTAAAAAATTGCAGTTTAGTTTGGAAATTTTATCTGAATGTCTCATCTTAAATTGCATAGGTATGTATATGCAAAATAACCTTATGCCGCTTTTTTTTTTTAACATAAACAAAAAAAACTAAACCCAAACAAGCGATTCACATTCCCCGTATAGGAAATGATCCACGCACGCATTTCTGCTTTCTGTTATATCACTGGCCTTGTTCATCTGACATATCAGAAGTCTTTCTCACTGTAAAACCAGGTTTTGTTATATTTTACATAAACCGCTATTGCAAATAAAAAAACTGCCTCAACCTTCATCAATTTTAGTTTATAGTGAATTTTTTTTTATAATATATATATATATATATATATATATATATATACATACATATACATACATACATACACACACACATATACACACACACACACTTTCTCATTAAAATTCAGATTATCATAAATTGATATTCAAATGGAAAAACCAAGTTTAAAATAGCCAAGCTGTTATAGCAGACTAGGAAAATTTTGCTTGCTTGGTTATTTTAAACTAAATGTTATCAGATTTTATTTTGCTGCAATTCTAGTGAATACATTTCACGTACTTTAAAGGGTTACTCCATCACAACCACTAAAATACACTGGCCCCATTTCCACAGAATAAGGCAAATAGTTTTGCAGTTAGGTTAATGCTGGGCACCAGGGGTCCTCCAGTGGCCTGAAACGACATCTGGCTTTTTGCAGTGGTGCATAAACCAGAAGTTAATTCTAACAGCGATTCATTGGCTGAAAATGTCAGGTGACCACTCTTCTCCATAGGCATATGCACAGAACTGAAATTACTCAGCCAAGAACACTTGTAACAGGCTGGCTAATGATGCCCCAATGATGCTGCTGGAGGTGGAGTTACACCTCTGGCAGCAGAGCGGTTAAACTCCTGTATGTACAACATTTAAAGTGAAATACACAGTCTGTAGGCACCATGACCACTTCAAAAAAGTGAAATGGTTATGGTGCTTTGAGTTACCCTTTAAATCATATGTGGATACATATTACTGCAATGGCTATGGGACAAATCTATGACAAGTCTATGAATGCAGTCGCTACAGTTTTTTCCAAACCATTTTCAAAGCCCCCTCCTCTCGGCTACGTGATTATGAGAAAGAACTTCCTGATTCTTCAACCAAAATATTTTCACTGCATAGAAGGATTCAGAAATCATGGAATTGCCATTCGCTTATTCTGCGCTGCCAAACTGAGACAAGCTCCCAGTAGCACATAGTTTATCTTCACAAACAAGTTCCCAGTGTGCCTAACGGCCTTTTTGACTGTTGTTTTTGGCAAAGATGCAACTATTCAAGTGGCCTTGAACCTCTTGCAAATAGTGGATAATCGCAGAGAAACATACTGTGTGTCAAATTTTGATTCTGCTTTTTCTCTTACTTAAAAGGACACAGAAAAATGTAACGTACCCCACTGTTATGTTATCTAGATTGTAAATGAATCTGCAGCAATATACAAACTTTCCCTTTGTTTCCCCCAATATATTTTTATCATAGTAAAAATGATTTCCTGTTGGAATATCATTCAACCACCATTTTTTTTTTTGATGCAGATGAATAACCTTTAACCAGCAATGCTTAGAATGTTTTAAAACCTTGATAACAGAGGTCCTTTCCTAGCTACTGTATTGAGTGTTGACCTTTAAAGGAGAACTCTAAGCAAAATGGCTCATTGTAGTGGTTATGGTCGTAGGAGTCCACTGACCCAAAGTAAGGATTCAAACCGGTGAACAGTTTGATATTTACCTTGGCCCGATGGGGTATTATTACTGCCCAGTCTCCTCCATATAGCTAAAACAGAAGTTCAGATTTTGCTTTAGCTATCTCAAGTTTGTAAACATTTACAGCTGCAATAAAAATATATGGACTATATGCTATTAAATGGGAACATTTAAAAGTTAAAGGGGAAACGTCACTGCAAATGAAAAGGTACGTGGCAATAACTAAACATTTGCTGCTGGATGTGGTTTTATTTCTTGAGTTTTTAAATTGTCCTCTCTTTGAATTTGCATAAAGTCCAAGGTTGTCCTGCAGAGGCGGCTGTAGACTTTATGAGGCCTTAGGCGAAACTCAAACATGAGGCCCCACTAACAAAAAAGTGTCACATATACACATTGAGGCACTGTCTACCTGTGTATGTGTCTGAGAGTGTGTCTGACAGAGTATCCGTGTGTGTGTGTGTGTGTGTGTGTGTGTGTGTGTGTGTTTGAGAATGTATGTCTTGGTGAGCATGTTTGTGTTTTTGTCTGAGACTGTATGTGTATGGGGTAGCTGCTTGAAGTGTGTTGTGTGTATGGGGGGGTGATGGTGAGAAGGAGGGGGGTTGATGTGAGAATGAGGGGGGTTGATGTTAATGTTGAGGGTGAGGGATGGGGGTGGGGGGGAGGAGTTGAGACTGATGGTGGTGGTGGTGAGGCTGAAGGTGGTGTGGGGTGAGAGAGAACCTACTTTTACTCCCTGGTGATCTGGTGGCCATTGATTCCGGTCTGCAGCTCCGCAGAGCTGCAGACCATGTAATCTCACGAGACCATCAGAGCTCTGATTGGCCGGTTTTTGTGAGACACATGGTCTGCAGCTCTGCTCACTGCGGAGCTGCAGACCGGTGTCTGTGGTGGCTGGCCCAGCAAGCCGCCGGGTCCCCTCCTGGTGTCATGTCCTCTGTCACTAACAGAGGACCTGACACAGTCTGCCCACAGGCTGTTAAGGCGGCCGCGAGGCCCCAGCCAGTGCGAGGCCTTAGGCGGCCGCCTAAACAGAGAGTTGCCTCTGTTGTCCTGGCACACACTGGCATCCAATGTAAATTCCTTGCACACTGCCTGTAATGATTCTCAGTATGCACACTTCTAAATCATCTTAGAAACATGGCCACTCTGAATTCTACAGAAGTTCTATGGAGGTGTGCTTTATATGCAGTGCTGTTACTCAGGTCACCACAATGAATACTTCAATAGGATTACAGAGGTAAATATACAAAAAAAAAAAAAAAGGGAGGTGCTGTCTGTGACCACCAATAAAAATGGCAGTTCATCCATGATACGGGTGACCTGCCCACCTATGCTCAACTCGTTACGAATATGGGATGCATCCAACGCTAAGTACGGACTGGCCTCGTCACCCTCCCCCTTATTAACTCTGCTATTTCAAAACATAGAGTTCCTCCCTGGAATGGCCGCTAGGGAATTCCGAAATATAGAAAGAACTGGCCTCCAAAGGATCTGTCACCTATATCAGAATGGAGAGGTAGTACAGTTCAACGACCTTCAGCAACATCACCACTTAATACCTTCCGATTTTTATTTTTTTTAAGATATATTTAGCTTAGGGATTTTGCTAGACGACCACATATCAAAGCAGCGGCCCATGGGACACTCACTTTCTATGAGAGGCTGTGTGTAGCGCGGACGGCACCCAAGTGTCACATCCTGTTCCTAGCTGCGGATCATTCTGGAAATGGCTTCTGGTATCCAGTACTCTTTATACAATTCTTGTTTAGTTTTTCTTGGTTTTCGATTCTATGTCTGGTTTTCTTTATGCTGGGTTTTTCTAGGTTCATTCCTTTTATTCCGTCCCTGGAATTCCCAGTCTCCAAGATTCATTTAAATGTTTGTTTTATGTTGCCACACCTGTTTGTTTTCCATCATTCCTTTTGTTTCAGTGTCCTGCAGGCAGCTGCTCAAGTCTTCTGCCCTTTCTTGCAGGTAAGTATTATGTGTTTTCTCTTTGGTTGGTTTAGCTTGCATTAGGCATTGTAGGACCTGCCAGATATGGGGTACATTGGCGTTGTTGGCAGGCTTATGCAATGTATGATCATATAATGTGACTAAATCCCCATGATTTTCATATGTAGTACTTAGTTATTTCTCCTCTTGTTTTGCCTATTATATCTGGTCTTGTTTTATTTTGTATTCCCAGTCCATGTACAGTCCTGTCCTGCCTCTGTTCTGTTAATGTTTCCCTAATGTCTTGTGTACATGTTCTGGGTTTAGGTTCCTATCCTTCTCTGGTTCTGGGTTCTATTAGTTCTGTCTTGTTTTCATGTTTGGTGCCTTTCCTAGCCTTGTTTCTGTACTGGATACACTCTTGCTGCAGAGCCTCCCTATTCAGCTCTGGGAGGTTTGCTTAATTCCTGCTCCTAGTTCCTGGGATCCTGCATCAGGGTTCTGGTATGTGGCTGCACAAACGCTGGTGCTCAACACCAGGGGGCGTGCGGTTACCCTGCACCAGACACTGCTAATCCACCTCCACAATGTGACTCCTACTCTGAACATCAGGCATACTGGGTCAGGTCCTCGCACCGCCACCCACACAGTGTCTGGGTCCCGGGCACCGGACCACCACCCTGACACCAATGGATTAATAATGCTGCTGTACGCTCACCTCTGTGTGGAAAATACAGAATGGGGCAGACTGACATACACGGACCAATGGGAGGCGGACCTGGGGGAGGTTTTGGAGGGCATCGAGTGGCAGGAGATCTGAGAAGCAAACTAAAACGCTTCAATGTGAGTAACACTTCAAGAGCAGTCCTGGAAATCCATGTTCAGGTGGTATACTACACCTGTAAAGCTTTTTCGAACGCAAAAAAAAAACGGACACAGACGACTGTTGGAGGGGATGTGGAGCTAGGGGAACATACATCCACATGTGGTGGGAATACCCGACTATACGCTGCTTCTGGAAATCTGTAGAGAATTTATTGAAACAGATATTTGATAGGCCCCTAAACCTGGACCCCTGGGTGTACCTTTTAAATAGTTCACTGGAGGGATGGACTAGGAGAGAACAGAAATTGGTGCAGAATATCACCTTAGGTGCATGTAGAGCAGTTGCAACTGCGTGGCTGTCACCGGAAGGCCCGAAGTTCTCGGGCGTACTCTCTAGGATTAAGGAAAGCAAACTAATGGACGACCTGACAGCCAGGGTGAAAGGAACCATGGCAGCTTTCCAGAGGATTTGGGAACCATGGGACAACAGTTTAGTGGGTTCAGGAGGAGACTGAGAGCGACCGTATAGGGGTATGGGAGACTAAGGCACTGAAAAGGCAATTAACCCTCACAGGCTTTGAGGAGCGGTAGCGATAGATTGGTTCTCCCTCCCCCCCCCACTCTCTCTTCTTCTGTACTTCTTCTTTCCTCTTTTATGTTTTTTTTCTCTTTTCTTTCCTTGCTCTACCAGGGAATATGCTACAGTCAGGCCTAATAAGATAGATAAAAGAACGTTGAAACTAATGGGTTACTGAATGCTACGTTTGGATCAATGTTTTATGTGTAGCCTGGTGCCTGACAATATCAAAAAATCCTCGGCAGACAGTATGGTTTGAATAATCTGTAAAGAATGAGTGGGCCTATCAGCTTGCATGTTATAGCACAATGTTATCAAGTACGACTTGTATTTGGGGCGTTTGCACAAGACCACCTGTTATTGGCATATCACTGTACTTGCCGTTAGGAAAAAGAAAATGGAAGTTCATCTTCAACGGGATACTGTGGAGCGAATCTGACCACTCCATACACTGTGAATTATTGTATTTGTACCTCCCTGAACAAATCTCTGGGCTCTGACCTTCAAGTAATCTCTATTCATTTCTATGGTGTTCAAGAAATCACAAGACCATACTATATTCCTCCCAATGATATTCATAGAAACATAGAATGTGACGGCAGATAAAACCATTCAGCCCATCTAGTCTGCCCAATTTTCTAAAATACTTTTTAATAATTAGTCTCATATCTAAGATAGCCTTATGTCTATCCCACGCTTGCTTAAACTCCTTCACTGTGTTAACCTCTACCACTTCAGCTGGAAAGCTATTCCATGCATCCACTACCCTCTCAGTAAAGTAATACTTCCTGATATTTTTAAACCTTTGCCCCTCTAAGTTAAGACTATGTCCTCTTGTTGTGGTAGTTTTTCTTCTTTTAAATATCGTCTCCTCCTTTACGGTGTTGATTCCCTTTATGCATTTAAATGTTTCTATCATATTCCCCCGTCTCGTCTTTCCTCCAAGCTATACATGTTAAGATCCTTTAATCTTTCTTGGTAAGTTTTATCCTGCAATCCATGAACCAGTTTAGTAGCCCTTCTCTGAACTCTCTCTAAAAGTATCAATATCCTTCTGAAGATACGGTCACCAGTACTGTGTACAATACTCCAAGTGAGATCTCACTAGTGTTCTGTACAATGGCATGAGCACTTCCCTCTTTCTACTGTTAATACCTCTCCCTCTACAACCAAGCATTCTGCTAGCATTTCCTGCTGCTCTATTACATTGTCTGCCTACCTTTAAGTCATCAGAAATAATCACCCCTAAATCCCTTTCCTCATATGTTGAGGTTAGGACTCTATCAAATATTCTGTACTCTGCCCTTGGGTTTTTACGTCCAAGATGCATTATCTTGCACTTATCCACATTAAATGTCAGTTGCCACAACTCTGACTATTTTTCTAGTTTACCTAAATCATTTGCCATTTGGCTTATCCCTCCTGGAACATCAACCCTGTTACATATATTAGTATCATCAGCAAAAAGACATACCTTACCATCAAGACCTTCTGCAATATCACTAATAAAAATATTAAAGAGAATGGGGCCAAGTACAGATCCCTGAGATACCCCACTGGTGACAGGCCCAAGCTTCGAATATACTCCATTAACTACAACCCTCTGTTGCCTATCACTCAGCCACTTCCTTACCCATTCAACAATATTGGAATCATTCACGTTTTGGTATGTGCAGTGGGAGATGGGATCAGCTCAAACACATTACATGTGGACAAATAGCAAAGGGGAAGATAGCACAGAGATACAACAGGGAAAAAAAAAAATAGAACAGTGAGACGTGGGTCCCAAATTAGGACTTTTAACAGGTAGATTCAGTGTTTTCCCCCATTAAACTTAATGGCATCAGTCTGCTTGCACATGTGCACTGCAGTGTGGAGCATATCTTTAATGCAAGTCAGTTGCAACTGTACAAGTGCCAACAAGTCCCATTTCTTGTTATGGGTTTATGCCAGTCATTCCCAAAAAGCAAGCTTTTAGAACAAAAGAGAAAAAAATAATAATTTGACTTTAATGTTATTATTACTTTAATAATAAGTGCAGAGCAAGTTTATTTAGAACGTAAAGAGTTTCTGGAAAAGTTATAAAACGTAAATCCAAGGTGGCATTAATAAGGAGTGTTGTGTGTACTGCAGTTTTAATTTGAAGCAGGAAACTGTTAAACAATTATAGTTACACACCCAAAATTGGTGAATATTAAAGTAACTGCTTTTTTTTTTTTTTTAAATCATGGTTTGGGAACAACTCCCTAAAACATGTCACGTCATGGGTTAATCATTACACCCCTCTGCCTCCTTACTTAATGTGAGTAGGTGAAATCCTGCAAGTGCTTTGGTAGTACTGTGAGCTAGCCTGGCAACAGGTGTGTGTTTATTACTCAGCGCTCTCAAAATATTGACAGTAGAATTAGTGTAAATAGTCATCAAAAAGCATTAATGAATGCAAAGCCACCCACATGCCATGACGCAACCTCCCCCTTCCTCTCCCCCATGAATGGAAAACCAGTGAGCGAAATAATACAGTAGACAATATAAATGGGAATCCCCGCCATCATTTTATAAGTAGGAATGAAAATAAATACATTAAAAGGAGACACTAATATCCAATCAAATCGCTTAGCTTGGGTCTTCCAGAACTCTACAAAGAGAAACCATTTTACATTCATTGGCCCATATAGTACCAAGAAAGACAAGGCTTCTTGTAAGTAAGACGTGAAACTCGATATTGCATTGTGCTATCCAAATCAGCAGCAAATCCGCTTTCACTTTCCCAATTCTCCAAATTCAGTGGGTGTGGATAAATGGAAGATTATGTGGTTTCCTTGCATGCTAGCAAGATCTCTGCTACTATTTAACCTCTAGCATGCTGCATTATACCTAGGGGTAAGGAGGGACATTGTGCTTTGCATTACCCCAACAGTATAAGAATTACATTGAACCTTCCTTTTTGAGGAGATACCAAAAAACAAAACCATACACAACATTGCTTCTTTTTCTTTTACCTCTAAAAATCAAAATCCGACACTTTTAGATTGATCTACAGATTGCAAACATCCAATAAATGTCAGAATAGGCAACCACCAATGTTAAATGCAGTACTGACAGTTAAAGAGTTATTCTAACGCATAATATATATATATATATAAAAAAATTTTACTTTAGAATTGCCTACAGAACATGGTTTATTATGTCGTCCCCCATATGGAATATGCTGGAGCTCTATAAATGCCAATAATAATAATAATATACATGCAATGTATGCAGTTATTAATATACATGTATGTGTGCAAAGTTTCAATGTGAATGCTACACATACAGCTTCCTACAATCATGACCACTTCTAAAAGCAGAGGTTGTCATGGTGGTTGGAGTAGCCTTTAACTGCAACCTGTCGATACAGCAGGATAGGATGGTGAAAGAAAAACAAAAAAATAAATAAAACAGTTAAGACGACTAGTTGAAAGAAAAAGAAAAGTCTCAAAAGCAAGTTTAAAGCAGGAAAAACAAAAATCAATTTCTGGCACATTGCTCTGCACATATTATTCTAGTAGTTTGTGCAGGTTACTGCTCCAAACGCATACCTATTTTAAGTCAAAGTTTAGACAATTATATGCTTGTTAATTGAGGTTCTTGAGAATGTTTTTGTCTGGGAGTTATTCTGTTGTTGAATCTTTCAACCGATGGTAAATCCCACAATTATAATAAAATCAAAGAGATAGTTAATCCCCTTCCCCCCCAAACATATATTTTTTTCATGTCATTGAATATTACCACCAAAGACCAGAGGTGTGGAAATGCACTCAGTGCCCATACAATATGTATCTGGGTGCAGCCAGTCCGGTCCCAGTACCAGGAACCAAATACTTGATAATGGAAAAATAGAAAAAAGGTCCAGGCATACCAGAATACAACAAAGGCAGCTTTTATTGAACCCACTGCCACTCACAACGTTTCGACCTGAGCGGTCTTTGTCAAGCTGTATTCTGGAGTGCCTGGACCTTTTTCTATTTTTCCATTCAATATTATTACGGCAGTTATAAAGTAATGCTAGATGGACAGGATTTATAATCTAGATCACACAGTGTACTGATGAACAGGCAATAGCTAAACCTACTTTATTCCCTGGTTATGTATTTTGTAGTAATAAAATATCACCAACAGCTGCAATAACCAGCTTCATGAAAATAGGCAGGGTATCTGGTAATCTAGTGGTCAGTATTTAGTGATCGTTCCATTTTATAATAAAGTGAAGCCCACTAAAACAGATCTAACAGAAGGAAATAAAACAGACACCAAATATAAGTGACTGACTATAGCAAATTACCACAAGCATGATCATATATCAAGTTTAACATTCAGTGTGAACATATTCAGACCACCTGTTACTAACATGTGCTAGGAGGGCACAGAGGAACCTTGTGACAAAAAGCCTTAAAAACGTGGTCATGCAACACATGGCGAACACATTTGTTCGTTGCGCTTAGAGTTTAGGCTTACACAACCATGTAAAACAACCTATTCCATTATATAGAGCAGGATTTGGAGGAGAATTAAAAAAGGGATTCCAGACCCCAACTTTAAAATTGAAGATCCATGCCCCTATTTCGGAATGCAAGACATTTTTGTAAGTCCAGAACAAATCTTGTATTCACATGAAGTTGCATTATATATATATATATATATATATATCCTTTTTTTTTTCTAGGCCATTTTAATTCTATCCAGTAGTCACATGACTAGGACAGGACAAAAATAGTGTTAAAAGGATTTATCTCAGACCCTTATTTTGCAGCATAAAAAAGTCACATTGTCTTTATACATCCAGAAGAAATAATCTTATATTCACAGCAAAACATTTTGTTTCTGGTCAGCAGTGCCGAGAGAGACTTGGCGCTAGAAAAAGGCAAGAAACGTATTTATTTTTTAATTGTGTTTTAATTCATATGGTGGAAGGGGAGGTGGCATTAACACAAGTACAGACAGGCAGCAAATTACACAGTAAATGATATCAAGTATTTTCTCTCGTAGAACAGAATGCACAAAAATATTTTTGCTTGTTTCCACAAATATTGTGATTTGAAAAGAGTAATGTCCCTTCAATAGGTTGTTTTCAATAAAATACAGGATAGCCCAATGTGTCCATTCTCTAGTACCCTTTCAATCGTGAGCCAACTTGGCCCGATTCATTTTCTGAATTTTAAAACATGGCTTATTCAGTTCATAAGTTAATAATTGGTTTAAAGAAATAATACTTTATGAAATTTCACTGCCCTACTGAAGGGATCTCTTCAAGTTCAAACAAAATTCGTCTGGTGAAGTCATTACAAAAAAAAAAAAAAAAAATTACATGGAAGCGAACGTGGTTGTGAGTATATCTGAGATGAACTGTTACTTTCCTGTAAATTATTCTTCTAAATAAATTAAAAAGTTACCCATACCAGTATTTTATAAAATTCTAAATTGATAATCACCCATAAATGTGTACTCCATTTTCGTGTGATGCTCCATTTCATGTGGTATGAACCACTAAGTTCAGTCCACACAATGCACTGGAGGAAGAGAAACATTCTGTTCCCTCCAGGTGAATAGTTATCTTCACCTCCACAAAGATTTTTAAAGAAAGCTGTTGGGGGATTTCTCTCTAGGCTCTCTGGAAGACAGCCACTAGAGGCTGGCTTAACCCCAAATGTAAACATAGCAGTTTGCATCTGAAGGGTTAAAACCTGAGGGACCTGGCACCCAGACCACTTCATTGAACTGTCCATTTAAATTTATTTATTTTTTTAATAAAGCAAACTACCAACCACAGTAGCATGGAATCCTTCATTTAATTTACTTTCATACCTCACAAAACATGTATCTGATAAAGTGTAGAGCAGTGTATGGACCAGGTCGCCATAGGCACTCCACATGTAGTGGCCTACATCTCCCATAATGCTGTAACAACCATATTGCTGGCAAGGCATTGGAAGACATGAAGTCCATAACATCTGAAGTGCTGAAGATTGACAAACCCGGATACAGAGGATAAGTAAATATAATATTGAAAATACTGCAGGGTGACAGTTCCATTTTGTTATTATATAGCTGGTTTGCTTTTTTAAGTTGCAGAATGACTCCATACTTTCTTATTAAGACTTCACATCACAACAGAAAATAATTCAGCAATAACATGTTAAACTTATTAAGCACTTTACAACCAAAATCTATTTATCACAGAATGTATAGGAGGGGGGAGAAGGGGGACAAGTGAAAACATGTAAACTGACAATTAACACAGTGTGTTTACTAATGTATTCAATCTTTCATTGATTTCAAGACAAAATAACATTGTTTCTAAGCAGCGATGCTGAAATGACAGGGTCTTTCTAATTTGCATCCTGTAAAGAATGAGCAGCGTTCAGACAAATGGACGGGTACAAGAGGTAATTGGCAATTGTGTGTCCAAAATTTTTTTTTTTTTTTTAAATTCCGCAGAATCAGACATACTTAGAGTTATTTTTCTAAACCATTTAAGTATAGTGACCGTGAAATAGAATATAAAGTATTTACATTCTACCCAACACTCCTGAAGCACACAATGAGCTTATCTGAATGTATCAGGAGAAAAATAAAAATATATAAAATGCTACACAATACAATGAGATCAGATTAAAGGTAAGAGCAATACAACAAAGAGCACTATATAGCATAACACTTTAAAGAAGAAAGGCCAGGTGTAGGAAACTAATTGTAAAAAACCCTGTGATTTCCAGTTCCCCAGTTATTTTCCCTGCATTTGGTAGTTTGATCTACCGAACACCAACCACCCCCTCGCTCATTAACTTCAAAGAAATCACAAAGTTAAAGGACCACTATAGGCACCCAGACCACTTCAGCTTAATGAAGTTGTCTGGGTGCCAGGTCCTTCTAGGGTTAACCCTTTTTTTTTTTTTATAAACATAGCAGTTTCAGAGAAACTGCTATATTTATATTAGGGTTAATCCAGCCTCCAGTGGCTGTCTCTTGACAGCTGCTAGAGGCGCTTGCGTGCTTCTCACTGTGAAAATCACAGTGAGAAGATGCCAGCGTCCATAGGAAAGGATTGTGAATGCTTTCCTATGAACTGGCTGAATGCGCGCACAGCTCCTGCCGCGCATGCGGAGAAGAGGAGGAGAGGAGGAGCAGAGCTCCCTGCCCGGCGCTGGAGAAAGAGGTAAGTTTAACCCCTTCCTCTCCCCAGAGCGCGGCGGGAGGGGGTCACTGAGGGTGGGGGTCCCTGTATGTGTGTCTGTCAGTGAGTGAGTGTGTGTGTGTCTGTCAGTCAGTGATTGTATGTGTGTCAGTGAGTGACATGAGGAGGCGGCAAAATGGATCTTTGCCTAGGGCGGCAGAAATCTTTGCACTGGCCCTGCCACTTACACTCCTACATTTAAAGTGTCACTTTTTGTCCTTCTGAAATGTTGGGAGGTAAGGAATATCTTGCCAGATGTTCAGTAAACCAGTTGTCTATACTTCCACTAAGCCTTGTCTAATGTTTTATTTTATTTATAAAATATTTTACCTGGAAGAATACATTGAGATTTCGATTGTTTTCCAGTATATCCTGGGTCCACAAAAGATTGCATTGTTACAAAAGGATACAATATTACAATAAAATACCTCATACAAAATAAATAAATATATATATATATATATATATATAAAAAACACATAATAGGTGATAAATATATTAGTATATATAATATAATGTAATATAATAACGTAATAACCTCACCCTCCGAGCACACTTATAGGCTATTTCCTCTCTTTTTACCTCTAATTTCTTGTAGGAATGGGGAGTATTTTTTTTAAATTCCGCAGAATCAGACATACTAAGAGTTATTTTTCATAAACCATTTAAGTATAGTGACCATGAAATAGAATATGAAATATTTACATTCTACCCAACACTCTTGAAGCACACAATGAGCTTATCTGAATGTATCAGGAGAAAAATAAAAATATATAAAATGCTACACAATACAATGAGATCAGATTAAAGGTAAGAGCAATACAACAAAGAGCACTATATAGCATAACACTTTAAAGAAGAAAGGCCAGGTGTAGGAAACTCATTGTAAAAAGCCCTGTGATTTCCAGTTCCCCAGTTATTTCCCCTGCATTTGGTAGTTTGATCTACCGAACACCAACCACCCCCTCGCTCATTAACTTCAAAGAAATCACAAAGTTAAAGGACCACTATAGGCACCCAGACCACTTCAGCTTAATGAAGTGGTCTGGGTGCCAGGTCCATCTAGGGTTAACCCTGCCTGCTGTAAACATAGCAGTTTCAGAGAAACTGCTATGTTTACATATGGGTTAATCCAGCCTCTAGTGGCTGTCTCATTGACAGCCGCTAGAGGCTCTTCTGCACTTCTCACTGTGATTTTCACAGTGAGAAGACGCCAGTGACCATAGGAAAGCATTCAGAATGCTTTCCTATGGACTGACAATGCGCGCGCATGCGCATTCAGCCGGTGACGTCAGAAGAGGGAGGAGAGTCCCCAGCGTCGAGGGAGCCCGGCGCTGGAGAACGGTAAGCCTTTAACCCTTTGCTCACCCATTAGCCCGGCGGGAGGGGGGACCCAAAGACCCTATAGAGCCAGGAAAACAAGTTTTCCTGACACTAGAGTGGTCCATTAAGTGCCCTCCCTGTGCAGCCGCCATTCGTATAAGTGAACATGTGCGCTGGAAAACGACAGCCATCTTGTTTCCCGAAAGCAGGCAGCAGTACTTAGTCATTGAGTGTCTGGAACTCCAAGTCGGACATTCTAACCCTCAAACACCAGTAACTTTGTACCAACGCCGGCTTCTATTCCCGACAAGCCAGGAGAGCGCTATTCCATGAAAAGGTACTCACAAACTAGACGAACAATCTCTACCTATGAGCCAGGGGAACTATTCGGTATTTATTTCGTTTTGTGATTTCCAAAAGTGACCAACCACTACCACTTTTCTTCTGGAACTATTTTGGGCAGACGCCACATGTGTGGTCAGTCAAAACATTACCCCGGTGGCTGTATTCGTGGGATCTAAGTGCTATTTGGACACTTTGGGCACTCAGATCCAGGCTATGTGGGGATATAGGACTTGTAGGGTCCCTAGTAATATTATATATGTTTTAGGTTTTATATTTTGTACCATTAGAGCGCACAAAACACAGGGAAACAAAAAAAAAAAAAAACAACGTAGTAAACAAAAAGCGGACCATGTCCCCAAATAGATTTTATATATTATATATATATATATATATATATATATATATATATATATATATATATATATATATATATATATATATATATATATATAATATATTTTTTTTTTTTTATATTCTAAAAGTGTACAAATGCAGATTTAAATCTAATAAAAACATTCTTCCAATAATTTCTGTAAACAAAAGGAGGAAGTTTGGGTATGTGATGTTGCAAAAATAGAAGAAAAAATAAAAACGATATTAAACACAGCATATATAAAATAGGTTATGTTCTGTTTTAGTCTCTATAATCCAAGGTTAATCCAGGTCATAAATACAGCCATTCAACTTTCATAGAACAATCCTGTTTTGTTAGTCATTCTGATAGAATTTAGACTGGATTTTTTAGATTAGGCATCCCTCATCTATCATACCTTTTGTTATGTATCCCTCCAAATCAACACTTACAATTAAAAATATTAAGGCAGATTCTGTCAGAGACTTTATGAAACCCAACGGTTGAGAATTACTTAAAGGGAACAGTTAAGGCACCAAGACAACTTTATCTTAATGAAGTGGTCTGGGTGCAGTGACCCTTTAAATTTAACCATGCAATGTAAAACACTGCCATTTAGTAAATATGGCAATTTTATCATTGCAGGTTTAACACACCTCTAGGGACAGTCTTCACTAAATAACCAAGTCTGACTGGTATTCAAGCAAATGTTTTTCATAGAGAACATTTGATTGGCGCAGTATGGAATTTTTAGGCGCACGTGCACTAGTCTTTCAATTGTGAAGCATTGGATTGGCTGAGATCATCTAGATTGATCATCTTAGCACAGGAAGTGGAGTTGAAGAGATAAACATAGCAACAGAGTAAAGTAAGTAGATTGCTTTGCTTACCTTATTGTGGAGGGGAGCTTCAATAATCTAACTAGGCACTAAGACAGTATAGCATCAGGAATACATGTTTGTAGTCCCAATGCTATAGTGGGGGTTTTTCATAAGTAATTTGTTAAACTTAGAATTTTTGAGGATTTACAGTGAATTAAAAGTGAATGTCAAGTTTAAGATCTAACTAGCCAAACTGGAAGCATAGCGGACTTGAATAATTTTTTCTAGGTTGCCTATTTGGGCCTTAAATTTAAAATCAATTCTTACTTTAGTTAATAACCCTGTAAAGCACAGTTCTTCTTCCAAATGATGCATTACATATGCCTTTTAACTAAGCAGACCCAGCTTTTAAAACAGATGTATCAATACTTGACTAAAAGGTTTGAAAGACGCACTCCAAACATAATAAACATTCTTCGTTCCAATGAGCTCTTTGTTGCAGTCCCCATCCACCCTATTCATAATACATGTTATTTTGATGTTAAGGAAATAGCTCTAACTACACATTAACATAATTACAGAAGGTATAGTTCCATTCTAGCACAATGCAAGCATAAATAAATTTAAAAAATAAAAAATGATTTTATTAAGAGTTTTCGGGTGCAATCCATAAAAGCATACTTCGATTTGGCTTTTGATTGGCCACTGCCTAGCATAAACAAGGAAGTTGGTGCTGGGCCAAAAGAGGGTGGATCAGTCCAAATCCAAAATCTTTTCAGAATAGGTAGACCATTATGGATTTTGAAAATTATTTTTCAAAAATGAAATAATGCAGATTTTATTCTCCTTTATCAGAAACATGACTGACAACATACACCATTTAAAATAAAATTAAATATAACAGCTGCCATTCAATATTAAACAAGTTATTTTTACTCAATAACAGTACTTGCCACAAGACAGCTGTACTATATAGCCCATAAACACATGAACACATGCTTGCCACTTCCTGGTCTTCAACTTCACTTCCTAGTCTTTAGGAGCGCCGGCCCCCCTCATGCTGCAGCCACCTGAGCGCTCTATAGAGAGCCTCATGCAGCTGCAGCTCTCTCCGGACGTCCATTAGGGCATCCAAGAAGAGATGGATCAGCAGGAGGGAAGCACACAGCGCTCCCTCCTGTCAGTCCCTCTGTTGTAGCGTGGCCGAGCTCCGGTCCACGAGACAGGAGAATCAGTTTCCTGTTCCGGCCGGACTGACAGGAAGTGCTGACTCAGTGAGCACCTCCTGTCAGTCCGGCCGGGTACAGGAAACAGAAGCTCCTGTACCGCGGACCGGACCGGAGCTCGGCCACGCTACAACAGAGGTAGTGAGGGAGGGGGAGAGAGACCACTATGGGAGGGAGGTAGGGGGAAAGGAGAGACCACTATGGGAGGGAGGTAGGGGGAAAGGAGAGACCACTGAGGGAGGGAGGGGGTGGAGGAGAGACCACTAAGGGTGGGTGAAGAGGAGAGAGACCACTAAGGGTGGGTGAAGAGGAGAGACCATTAATGGGAAGGGGGAAGAGGAGAGACCACAATGGAAAGGGGGAGGGAGAGAAGAGGAGAGACCATTAATAAAGGGGAGGGGGGGAGAGAGAGAGAGACCACTAATGGAAAGGGGAGAGAAGAGGAGAGACCACTAATGGAAAGGAGGGGGGAGAGAAGAGGAGAGACCACCAATGGAAAGGGGGAGAGAAGAGGAGAGACCACTAAAGGGGAGAGAGAGAGAGTCCACTAAAGGGGAGAGAGAGAGAGTCCACTAAAGGGGGAGAGAGAGAGTCCACTCAAAGGGGAGAGAGAGGAGTCCACTAAAAGGGGAGAGAGAGTAGAGTCCACTAAAGGGGGGGAGAGAGAGTAGAGTCCACTAAAGGGGGTGGGGGGAGAGAGTAGAGCATACTCACAGTCAGGCCCTGAGGCCCAGACCTTGAAAGGTTCCCAAAAAAATGGAGCTGCTTCCCATTCTCCAAGAACATTGATTTTTGTGACCACAGTTACAAACAGCAACCAGAATAGTGGAGCCAGACTGCAGCCAGAGCCCATGACCATCTGGTTGTAAGTAGGCAATCTAGTATATTTGTGGCACCAATCTCTAATTTACCTCACATTAAAGGGACACTATGGTCCCCAGAAACACTGCAGCTTAATGTAGTGGTTCTGGTGTCTATAGCCTGTCCCTGCAGGGTTTTTAATGTAAAAACACACACTGTGTGCAGCACTGGCATTGGTTCAAATGACAGATGATATGGTTGAGGCATTGTGATGTCACATGGGGAGGTGTGACACTTCTTTTGCCTAGGGCGGCAAAAATTGTTGCACCTGCCCTGACAGGAGTGTTTGTATGCAAATGCTTTTAATGTGGCCTGTAATCTGATGTACAGCAAGCTTGTGCATGATTGTGAACCATCTCTACACTCATCAGTTTACAAAATGCATTACTGACAAACGACTAGAATTTAAAGAATGTTCGACAACAGCAAAGTAACAATCAGTTGATAAATGGAGGGCGGAAATATATTGTTATAATTTAAATGGACTATGAAACTGACTTAGCAGAGTTAAGAGTGTACTCAACATATTTTGCTTGTTTCAAATTGTTTTTACTTAACCATTTTAATGTTTTGTAATGTCAGGCACAAGCAGGGCACTCAAGGGGTTAAATCACTAGGCTACTGTTGCGTGCAACATACAAGATCAAACAGGTGGCAGTCACCTTCCAAGTCATGTGATTCACATGCAGGTAGATGGGGATCGCCAAGGAGACTGTTTGTGAAAGGCAGAAATGTTAGTTAACCCCTTTACGAATACTGATTTGCAAGAACAATGCAAATAGCAAGGGTTTGCTTTTATACAAAAAAAAATAATAAAAATAAACACAATCTTCTTCAGTTTGTGTGCAAATAATGTTTAGATCATTGGAGAAAAAAAAAAATACAAAACAAAATAATTTATGCAACACACTGGATGCATAAAAGACCCATCTTTCAAGCCAGTAGATATGTGAGCAAAATAATGTATCAAGGAAAAAAACAAAAACACTTAAATCAGTATCTTTATAACATTTTACAACATTACATGGAATTTCTTTTGATTCAGCATTTATTTTGAATTTATTTTGATTCAACACCGTTTTGGCCAATCAGCACCTACTCATAGAGATGCATTGAATCAATGCATCTCTCGGAGGAAAATTCAGCGTCCCCATGCAGAGGTTGGAGACGCTGAATGGCAGTACTGCCTCCTGTGCAGCACCGAGCCAGGAAGCACCTCCAGTGGCCATCTGAGGAGTGGTCACTTGGAGCTGTCCCTAGGGGCAATGTAGACACTGCTTTTTCTCTGAAAAGGCAGTGTTTGCATGAAAATGCTTGCATATAATGATTATACTCACCAGAACAACTACATTAAGCTGTAGTTGTTCTGATGACTATAGTGTCCCTTTAACAGGGTTATTCACCAAAGTGAGAATTCAAAATGATAACTTGAAAAATTCTCTGTCCACTATGCTTTCAGGTCAGGCTTTAGATTTTAAGTTCAGTTAGATTTAACCTTATAATGTTTACTGTAGTGAAGAACAATGTAAGTTTCCTAAAAATTAAACTACTTATTTGCAATGCAGTGTCAGTCCAGTGATTCTGTGAGTGAAGCATTTGGAGGTACTGCGCATGCGCAGCAATCACTGTGTTCCACCAGCAATGTGTGTCCTAAAGATGCATTGAATATCATCACTTTTATAAAATAAAGGCAAATAAGCACAGCTTAAGTGCTTCAGGGATTTGGAGTATTCCTTTAAATTGCCTTAGTCTGTGATATATTATTAATGGCCTTTATAAAGTGCCAACATATTCTGTAGCACTGTACAATTAGAGAAAAAGACAATACAATATACACAGACCATTACAAATATAAAGAGGTTTCTGCATTTGCTTATACTTTCATTTCTTGTAAAAAAAAAAAAAAATAGTAGAAGATTTTAAATAAATAAATAAATAAATAACACGTAACATTACATTTTTAGAAAGCAAATGCAAGCATTCAGGATAAAACGGAGCTAAGAAGGAATCATCACCAGCTTAACTCACAGGATAACATGATACATGATTGGACTTCATGTTATAGTATTTAGGTTTAGGCCATTAGCTGCAAGCATGGGTTTTCATCAAAACATGGAGTATGGCAGTTGCTTCTGTCTGAAAAATGGGTAGTTAGCAAAGAATTGCAGGAATGTGGAAAAGTTGGTAATCAAACACCAGACTGAAACGTGATCACGAAAAAAAAGGTAACATACACACACTCTAAGTCAGAGGAAAACTCTTGGGATTTCAAGAAAAACAAAGAATTCTGCAGAATTGTAAATGAGATACATTTAGTATGCGTTGAAGGGTTTAAGACAGAATATTTCAGTGGGCTCTATGGAGTCTCAATTCCATGCACATGAAAATGACGAATAGAATTAAATGAAGCTTTTTTTGCATTCTACTCTGCGCCAATACTCGATCTGTCTTAAAGGGGAATGATCAGAAAAAAAATGACATTTTGATATGATCACAGATTTAAAGTGGAACATACATACATTAAAAAAATAAAACACCAAGGTATATCTGAACCAGCTCAGGAACAGATGCAAACATTTTTTTATTCCAGCATAGTAAAAGGAAGTTAGGAAACAACAGGAGGGAGCACCACGTGTAAAAAAATAAATAAAATAAACCATTTCCATGCCTTGGCAGATTTTCCTCAGAGACCTTGCTTCATTTTTATCTCCACATTTTTGGCAGCTGGTTGGGCTACCCATTTGTTCTTTATTTTGCACAGAAGTCATCCTCAATTAATTTATGGTCTTCCAGACACTTTCCTGTGTTGTTGAACACGACTACCCCCAGTTATGTGACTCCTGACATGCGAAGATGGCATTGCCAAGGAGATAGACTGAGGCAAGTATACCTACCATTCCACACTGCCCCAGGGTACCCCATGTAAACATACACCCTTTTCATAAGTTTTCTTTTAAGTAGAAAATTACAGAATCTGAAGAATTGGGACAGGAAAGACTGCAGGGCTTAGAGAAATCCCATAGGGATTTGTTGCTACCAGGTTCTTACTGAATTGAGCTGTAAACCCCTTGAAGTCAACTCTACTGGGCTCAGCAAGAATATAGTTACATAGTTACATGGCTGAAAAGAGACTTGCGTCCATCAAGTTCAGCCCTCTTGAATATAATCAGATATGCAATTAGTGAATACAGAGACTCCAGTCTGCCAATGCATGCACGGGTCCAAAGTAACCTTGCAGGTCATATGGCAAGGATCAAACACAGGGAATACAAGATGCTCCTGTCAATCAACGATACCCATGCCAAGTTATCGCATACAGTTAGAAACTCCAGACACTATACTGACACCATTCTAGCTACACCTGGCTTGATCATGAATTTTGATGTGTTTAACAACTATCAGTGAAGAATTCTAATTTTACTGCTCAGCAAATACATATCTGCCCAGAGCATAAATCGTGTAAACAAGTAAGAGGAGGATAGAACATTAAAACAGCACAGCTTAACACTGTATCCCAGCAGAGAGGGACACACTTTAGGTCAATAGAATCTGAGTCAGAGCTTACTAAGCATGTCAAAGTACACAGACTTTTCTTAAGCATTCTAGTATTTGTATTCCCAAGACAGTTCCTTTACCAAGGTCTGACAAGCCCATTAAGAATGCAGCAGACTACTCCCCATTGATTTCTTTAAAAATGCCAGTAAAAGGTTGACATGTCCATTAAAATGAGGAGTCATGCTTCCAAGAACGATTACTCTGGATGGGCAGCATTTTTTATAGAGTTTATTTCATTGTTCTTATATAGAGCTCTGATCCAGAACACTTTACAAGATAGCTCTCCAAAGATGTACAGATCAGACCATAGCTTGGTAAGCTAGAATCCATGCTTCTATAGATTGTCACTAACCATAATTAACACAAAGTCTTTAAAAGGACCACTAAAGTCACCCAGGTGCTATGATCCTGTAGGTTTTACCCTCTTATGTAAACATAGCATTTTTTTCTATGGTGTTTTTCTTTTTAGAAACTGAAATGTTTACATTGCAGAGTTAAACACACCTCCAGATGCTGTCACAAAGAGCTTCTAGAGGCTCATTGCTGCTGGAGCAATCAAGAAAATATGGTTAAAGGTCTCAAATAGGAGAATTTCAAGCGCATGATTTTTAACGCTCCCCTATTAGAAGCATTGGATTGGATCGACTCTGGAGGAGGCCCTGCCTTATCCATGACCCAAGGGGAGGAGGAGAGGTAAGCAGCGCTGAGGGAGAAGGTAAGTAATCTATAGATAGGGACAGGAACACTAAGCTTTAGGAACATACTTTTGTATTTCTAATGCTTGAGTGTTCCTTTTAAAAATAAAAAAGCATCAAATGTATAATGACAGATTCTCATAAGAATGTTTTAGTTTATGAATACAAAGTCATGGTTTTTAAAAGTTCTTAAAGGACCACTCTAGGCACCCAGACCACTTCAGCTTAATGAAGTGGTCTGGGTGCCAGGTCCAGCTAGGGTTAACCCATTCTTTCATAAACATAGCAGTTTCAGAGAAACTGCTATGTTTATGAATGGGTTAAGCCTTCCCCTATTTGCTCTAGCGGCTGTCTCATTGACAGCCGCTAGAGGCGCTTGCGTGCTTCTCACTGTGATTTTCACAGTGAGAGCACGCCAGCGTCCATAGGAAAGCATTATGAATGCTTTCCTATGTGACCGGCTGAATGCGCGCGCGCATTCAGCCGACGGGGAGGAGAAGAGGAGGTTCGGAGGAGCAGAGCTCTCTGCCCAGCGCTGGAAAAAGGTAAGTTTAACCCCTTTTCCCCTTTCCAGAGCCGGGCGGGAGGGGGACCCTGAGGGTGGGGGCACCCTCAGGGCACTATAGTGCCAGGAAAACGAGAATGTTTTCCTGGCACTATAGTGGTCCTTTAAGGAAGAAGAAAAAATAAATAATTTAGGATTTAAATGGGTATTTACCATGAACAATGTGACTGCTGTACATCCTGTGTAAAGATTCTTCTATTTCTATCTGCTTGTCAATTGTGGTGTGTGGGCTCCCTCTTGACTAGAAATAAATAAATAAATAAATAAAAGTTTTTCTAATTTTCTGGTTAGTTTACCTGCACCCCTAAGTCATAATATATTCTAGAGACGAGTCCGGTCACAACACACTTCTAGAGTGTTGCTCTATAAATGTCAGATATTTTCTAACAGCAATGGAGCCAAAAGGAGTTTGGAGTGGCTTTTAAAAAAAAAAAAAAAACACATAGGGACATTATACTGATCTAAACTAAATTTTATGAAAATATAAACTGCGATTAAAGTTATTCGTAATATTTAGAATATTGTCCATTTGTATCACTATTAAAACAATGACACATTTATAGTGAGATAAATGTTACTTCTTATCCTTGGGCTAGCAGATAAACAAAGCAACAAATTATTTTAGCTACAAGAGTTTCAGAAGTTCTCTTAAAATTATTAACTATTATTAACTGCATTTCATCCAATGATTTTCATTAGCAGTTAATTCTTCTTCAATTAGAACAGATCGAATGGAATTGGTTAACACCTTTAAAGATCTGCATTCACTCTCTGCCAGGCTGGCTCCTACTCGACTTCCACAAGCAGCAAACAGGAAACCACACTCCCCGTCGCATACATTCCTCTGGGATTATGTAACGTGGAGTACAGCGCAGCAACATGATAAGTGCTTCTTAGGTAAAGAGATGTTAGTATGTAAGGAGTTAAAAAATTTGTGAACATTTGTGAAGCACAATTGATGCCAAATGAACACTTGTAGCACCATAATCACTTCAGCGGTTTGCAGTGGTCATGGTGAAATTAATCCTTGGGCTCAACTCTTCCAGTTGTTTTTTTTCCCTTCAAATTATTTTATCAGGCTCAGAGAAACAGGTAAGGGAGGACTAACAATGTTTGGCCTGGGGTGCAAATACAAATGTGTCTCCAAACTTCATCAGTATGGCCTGTACAGTGAGACAGAGCATTCATAGAGATCTGCAAAAGATTAACAAAAGTGAGAATTCAAAGTGATTTTCAGATTTAAAGGACCACTATAGTGCCAGGAAAACATACTCGTTTTCCTGGCACTATAGTGCCCTGAGGGTGCCCCCACCCTCAGGGTCCCCCTCCCGCCTGGCTCTGGGGAGAGGAAAGGGGTAAAATTTACCTTTTTTTCCCAGCGCTGGGAGGGAAGCTCTCCTCCTCCTCTCCGCCTCTTCGGCTGAATGCGCACACATGGCAAGAGCTACGCGCGCATTCAGCCTGTCTCATAGGAAAGCATTCATAATGCTTTCCTATGGATGCTTGCGTGTTCTCACTGATTTTCACAGTGAGAATCACGCAAACGCCTCTAGCGGCTGTCAATGAGACAGCCACTAGAGGATTTGGAGGATGGATTAACCCATTTATTAAAAAAAAAAAAAAAAAATGGGTTAATCCTAGCTGGACCTGGCACCCAGACCACTTCATTAAGCTGAAGTGGTCTGGGTGCCTAGAGTGGTCCTTTAAGATCAGGAGCCGCACGCGGCCAAATGGAAAGTACAACGGACTTGGAGAATGTTTCCACTTCAGCTGTTTTGATTTAAAATTTGACTTTAAATTCTCATTTTAGAGCAGGGCTGACCAACAGGTAGATTCCCAAATGCTGTAGAACTACAACTCCCATTATGCTTTGTCATTCTAAAGGCATGCAAAGCATCATGGGAGTTGTAGTTCCACAACATCTGGAGATATACATGTTGGGCAACCCTGCTTTAGAGAATAACTGTGTCTGTTATTCTTGACTCCATTGCTACTAATACAATCAGCGTGTGTCATGCACACGGTCTCATCTCAGCCCAGAGTCATTATACAATCTCTTCATTATCGCACAGCATTCTGCAGTTCAGGACTACAGCAAACCAATGCACAAACCCACACAGTGCTGGGCTAGCAAAGGACCTGCACAAACCCTGCAGTAATATTCCAAAATACACACCAAGCACCTCCTGTTATAATAATATATATATTTTTTATTGCCGTTTTATTTATTGTTTATTAAGGTTTAATTTCCAATGTAAACCATTTAACATTAACGTGCAAATTTAATTTTAAGATTTAAAAAGGGCAATTGACCCCAGGGTAGTCCTCAAAATGACAACAGGGATAGCCTGGCACCATGAAACATCCCTTCTGTTGTTTCCAAGATATCGTGGTGACTATAAATTATGATTATATGTACAAAGCAAATTTGTATCATCCAAAAGTTGGATGGATTTGTAGGAACATATAATGTGTAAGTGATCCCCACATACTTAGGAAAGCACCAAAGACTCCTTGCACTAAAATCACTACAATAACAGCTGCAGTGATTATGGTGCTTAATGTATCTCTTTAACAAATGAATTCCGCTGAATAAAAGTTCAGTATAAAATTTGCATGTCAACATTTTATGGGTACTCAAGGGAACTTTAAAATCAAGGTTTAACAAGCTTATGGAAAAGGTCCAGGCAATCTTGACAGAAGAGCCAAGCAGTACATAAATCAGGAAGACATTACTGAAACTGAACTTTAGCTGTTTGTTCAGACAAACAATGGAGAAGATAAGAGCCCTGGGTTACAATAGTGCCAGATGTGGGGGTTCTAGAAACAGCTGAACTCATGGGATTGTCATGTACTATACAAGCATCATCTAGGGAACATTTTCAAATGATGCACATTAAAGGACCACTATAGCTTAATGAAGTGGTCTGGGTGCCTGGTCCAGCTAGGTTTAACCCTTTTTTCTATAAACATAGCAGTTTCAGAGTAACTGCTATGTTTATAATAGGGTTAATCCAGCCTCTAGTGGCTGTCTCATTGACAGCCGCTAGAGACGCTTCCACGTTTCTCACTGTGATTTTCACAGTGAGAAGACGCCAGCGTCCACAGGAAAGCATTGAGAATGCTTTCCTATGGACTGGTTGAATCCGCGCGCGGCTCCTGCCGTGCATGCGCATTCAGCCAATGACGTCGCTATGGAGGAGGAGAGGAGGAGTCCCCCGCCCGGCGCTGGACAAAGAGGTAAGTTTAACCCCTTCCTCCCCCTAGAGCCCGACAGGAGGGGGACCCTGAGTGTGAGGGCACCCTCAGAGCACTATAGAGCCAGGAAAACGAGTATGTTTTCCTGGCACTATAGTGGTCCTTTAACAAAACGTGATTAGAAAAGAAGTATTGCATATGATCAACAAATCTCTTTTTACAATAGAAAAGTAAAAGATGCCATTTCTGACAATACAATGCTTGAAAATGAAATCTTTAAAAGGGACACTATAGTTACCAGAACTACAGTTTATTGAATTTGTTCTGGTGAGTATAATCATTCCCTTCAGGCTTTTTGCAATAATCACTGGGTTTTGTTTCAGAGAAAAAAAGTCAGTCTTTACAATACTGCCTAGGGATATCTCCACTGGCCACTCCTCATATGGCTGCTAAAGGGCGATTTCTGGGGCAGTGCGTGGAGACACTGAACTTTCCTCAAAGATACATTGATTCAATTCATCGCTATGAGGAGTTGCTGATTGGCCAGGGCTGTGTTTGAATTGTGCTGGCTCTACCCCTAATCTCCCTCCTTGACAGTCTCAGCCAATCCTATGGGAAAAAATTGTGATTGGCTTTGATCAATACTTCTACTGATGTCAGCCAAGTAGGAAGATCACCTTCTTACCTGGTGTTCGCCAGGCGCTGTTCCACAACCTCCAATGTTTTGGAGAGAAAGAGACAGAGGTTCCAAAACAAGATAATCTGTTAGCTCTGCTACACTGAGCCATGCAGTACAGAGTTAGTTTATTACCTTGTTGGCCAATGAGCTAGTTCAGACAGAGAGCTTCCTGCTCTGTATTGGAAGTAGTGGAGAAAAGGAGCAGCACCTGGTGGACCATGGGTAGGAAAATGGTTTTAATACTTACACTGGATATGTGCTAGGACACTATTGGCACCATAACCACTACAACACACAGCAGTGGTTATGGTGCTTGGAGTGTTTCTTTAAAGAGTAATTTGAAGTGGTCCTGGTAACTTGACACTGTATAAGAAGCATTTCACATTGAAACACTGCACATATGGAGTTTAACCCCTCTACTGCTAGAAGTCTAACTTCACCTCATGCAGCATCAGTGGAGAGTTGTCAGCCAGCCAGGGACTGGAGTTCCGAGCTGGCTACTGCCAATTCTGTGTCAATTTCATTGCACATAATTGCATTCTTTATGTAGTGGGTTATGATGCTTGGAGTAACCCTTTAAGGGTAAAGTCTAAAGCATTAATCTGGGTTTCTTTACAGATAAAAATGAAAATGAGCTTGCAATGGACACCTTCACAAAAACTGGGTAAACCAAGAATGGGAGGGGAATCACATTATACCCAACGAAGCTTGAGTTCAAGTGCAAAAATTATATGATTTGAATTTGACATATTAATTTTTGATTTAAGCCTGCCTTGTACCAAGAGCTGAGTAAGTGAAGAGAGCGTTATCTTGGCAAAATACGGCCCCTTAAATATCTATTGCACACCATTTGATTGCAACAGAGTAACTAAGAGTGCTGACTATGCTCCCATTTCATTATTTTTTCTAACATATTTTCAGCAGGCTAATGAGTCAGATTCATGCATCAATTCAAGCCATTTACATAGACATGACAGTACCTTCTGTTTACTCTAAAGGTCCTGCACAGCCCCTTAGAGCACATTTGGGATAAAGTGGAATAGTACATTTACAGGCTGATCGTATAAAATAATCTACCAAAACAATATTGGAATAGTGGATAATCAGCTCAAATCTCAATTACAGCTCTCTATTGAATCTAAAAAATAAAATAAAATTATTTGGCTTAAATATTCCAGGAAAGAAGATTTCAGCTTCACTTGTATCAATGTAACAAAGTATAGTGGAGAAAAAAAAAACAAAAAACAAACAAAAACTCATCTACACATTCCATAGTCTCCTTACCTGAAAATACAGGTGTACCTAAACAGATGCAGCCATGACAGGGATGCTTTTTTTTTTACACCACTCTTTTCCTGACTCCTCTATTGTGCACCAATCACTTTCAAATGTCTCTAGGTCCCCCATTTCACCAGTTTTTTTTCTTTGTTTTTTTTCTCATCTCCCCCATGTTAGTGTTTCTTGAAAAAAAAAACTATTACTGTATCGACTTAATCTGCCCACACAAGCTCTCAGTGGTCAAATTCTCGCAGATGCCCACTTCACACCATGGAGGATGAGTGGCTTGAAAAGGTGAGCATTCTGGGGAAAAGTTAGTAGACACAGGAAGTGGAGCTTACTTAAGCTCCAGCCAGAGTCTAAGAAAGTCAGGCTTAGGAAAAATACATAAGACAAAAGGAGTGATTGGGAAAAGGCGAGTACGGAGTGACAGTGTCACTTTATAAAGTGGGTACAAAGCGCTCACTACATTCCCCCTTAGTTACATCTGAAACAACAACTGCTGGTTCTTCTTAATGAAATATCCCTCACCACCTAGCTTGTTCCTTGCATGACAGCATCTCAAAGACTATTGAAACTGTGGCAATGAGTCAATTAGGATGTTGTTGGGCATTTCCATAATCTTGCCTGCTCCATGTCAATGGAGTTTTATTGTCCCATCGTATTCACTTTAGTTAGGGCCCGGTATGGGTACATATGTCAAGATATACAGAGATTCTTGTACTACGGTTAGGTTACAAAGATCACAGAAACACTTTATAACCATTATCCCGCACAAGCTACTCTGACATGCTTGCCTTGGGCTTTGAAAAGTGATAAGAAAAGCAAGGCAGGTATACCAAAATACTGCAAACAGGGCATAGAATACACACCTAGTTCAACCGCTTAACAGTAAAGCCGCAATGACTATGAGAGAAACTGTGTGTACATGAGAATGCTTGGGCTATGTTACAGAATAACTCATAACAGTGTGCCTTAGTGTGTTTTTAGTAGAATATCCTCCAACAGTGACACAGTATTCAGAATAATATAATTTTAGCATCTGCCAAATTGCACAATAGCAGGACACAGAACATAGGGTGGGTCATGTGTTGATGCACTTGGTGCAATAAATATTCAGGCAAGTTCGGAAATATTTTATTCAAACTATTTATTCAAGAGCTTCAATTATATTGTAAGTAAAGCTATTCCCAGACTAGCCTGGCTGTTTATTGCATGAAGCACATCCATCAACCCTTTTCTCTGTGAGGGAATACATACACACATAATGTACTTCTATTTTAGTGTATTTCCTATGTTGGGGGTGGGTGGAAGGGGGACAACAAAAAACATCTTTGTAAAGGAAGCAGTCTGTATATTCTATTTAAAACATGGGGTCAGGAAGACCCAATTCATCTGCCATGTGACGTTTGCTCAGCCTTCCTGTTCATTTTAAATGCATTACACTTAAGAGCAGAGTACACATGTACCCAGCAAGCATGTCTGTCCATATGCATTACATCTGCTTCGCTGCCAGTTCACACAACTGCACTACATCATTTAGCCTTTTATGCATGAAGACAGTCCCAGCTCCCAGCCATCAAACATGCTCCTCACTTTAGCTCCATTCATAAAGCTTCTCTTTCAATAGCTACTGAAGAATTTAACCTCTCTTGTGCCAGTGCCTTATCTTGCCCATCTTGCTAGTTCGCTGGAGTTAAATGGAAAGTAAACTCTCCAAACAAATAAATGAAAAAGTGTTGGGACAAAAATATGCTAGAACTACTGTTAAAAGTAGTTAAAACCCAAGTGATTTCAGCAATTTAGGTCACCATTTGTGTAACATTTGGCTGTACACAAGGACTACAAATATTCTGGTCAAAAACATTATATACATAAGGAGAAATGTCACCTTTTTGTTGGTGACCGTTTAATAATGTAGAAATGCAAAAAGCAGTTTTATTTAAAAAAAAAAAATATATATATATATATATATATATATATATATATATATATATATCACACAATAGTTAATGTTTAGGTATCCATTACAATGTGCATTCACCTCTGAAGTGACACTTCCTCTTTATGGAACAATCATAATTCATAAATCTTCTCTGAAAAGGTCCTACGTCCACAAGGAATTCCCTACTTACAGTTAGTTTTACAGAGCTATGCATGTGCGAAATGAGTAGGACATGTCATGTCAGAGTTATTTAACTTTGGAGCAGATTGCAATGACAATACAGACTGTCATTAGTCCTTAATAATTTAACAACAATATGTGCTTTGGAGAAACATATGTTGTTTGCCATACAATGCAAACAAGGACACTTACAGTAGTTTGAAAGGTCACCAGGGTTACACTTTAAATGTAGAAAGCCCATGTATTTAATAATTTTCTTACTTGTTTTCCCTCAAGAAAACAGCTTGTTCGCAAGAAAAAAAAAATATATATATATATTAACACGGCCTCTCTGTGCTTCCATTTTAAACAGATGTTTGGTTTTTTTTTTGCAAATAATGTTAGCATATTAAAGATTTTATTTTGATCTATTCCCCGCACTCCACCCATTTACATATATGTTTGTCACTTAGTTTAATCATACACTCTTTAATCATGTTATGGAAGTTGTTTGTTTTTTGTCCTTTTTGAATCATCCAATAAGCTTGGCATACCAAAAAAACTATTTTCATTACGATTACCTATTGGCTCACAGAACCTACCACTGGATCCAGGCTCAGGAAATATTAGCAGGTAAATGGAAATTAATAAGAAGAACATAAATGAGAAACTCCTAGCGTCTTGGGATTTAAGGATCGATTGTGAGAATTCTGATGAACCAGGGATAGGGTTTACCTGTAAAACCACAAGAAACTATTCTAAGGGCACTTTACTATGTGAAAATGAAAGGGGAAAAAAATAAAATAAAAAATAAAACACAGGATTGGAAAAGCACCCTGGATTATACCAATTTTAACAAAGTTAATCATTTAGCTCCCTCTTGCAAACACCTTTTATTTTGGGTTCTGTGATAAAAGGAAAAGCAGCAAATAGTGTTCAAAGATCACACAACTGAGAATCTAATGTTAGGAGGAAAGAAGAAAGATATCCCATTTATGAAGCTAAAAGGCAGCCTCTATAAACAAGCACATTGAGTATGATTAAAGAGTTCTAAATAAGAAAAAAAATGTTGGTTTTGTATGACTGCTGGTATTCCAGCGTACGGTTTATCATCTGATGAAAATAAATAAATAAATCAATCGATCACACATGAGAAGACAAAATAGAACATGTCCCTGGGGCTAAACAAGGAAATTTCAAAACCTAGCACCAAAAGAGACCAAGGGCAGGCGTGTGGTGTGTGTGTGTTACACACATACATGCAAAGAGGGTCAACATACCTCCACCCCCATAAAGTGTCAACAACACAATCACATTGGACTAAAAATCAATTCTGAATACACGTCCTCATTAACCCTGATGTACCCATAGGCACTGAACGTGTAAATGTATGTCCCAAAGAATGGGTTAATGCTTTCAGAAGTCAAGATTCTCCACCAGTAAGGAAAGGATTACATTTTCAAAGAGAAGGAGAAGTTTGTCACCCCTGGATCAGCATTCACAAACAGGCATAGGGAACAGTGGCAAGCACACATTTGGGATAGATTAAATAACCCCATGCTGGCTACAGCTCCACATATATCTCCTCTGTAATACTACAGAACAGGAACTTCAATTCAAACTCATGCGCTCTGCAGAAAAGGGTCTACAAGACAAAGGATCTACATACTTGCAACTGGGCACATAACTTTAACTCCAAAAAGAGAGTAAAGTCAGTGTCCATACTCAGCAATGGGAACTATAACAATGTACTATATATTTTGTACACACGTCATTTTAATCACACAGGGAGTACAGAGGTAGGTGTATCAGCTCCTACACTCACATTTCCAGCAGCCAAACGGTTAAAATATGTCATTTCAAATATTTATCAAAAACAGGATTAGCAACTTTGAAATGATTTTAAATACTGGAAACTACAAAAATATACACTAATGCATAGAATGGGAATGCAGGAATATACATTAAAATAATTCACAGCCATCATTTCAAGCAAAACACAAACTCTAAAAACACTGGTTACTGAAAGGTGACTTATAAAGTGATTATTGAACAGTAAACTGCGATGAATTAAACACTGAATTGCAAAATTAAAACAAAGTCTCCAAGTTACCTACAACCACAGCTTACTTATTTTAATTTAAAGCTTGCAATTCAGTCATTTCCTACACTTTACTGTTTAGTGAATAAACACCATTTGAGTTAAAATGATCAATTCACCCATGCACACAATGCTCTAAACCAGGGATAGTGATTAGGCAGAGCCCCAGCTGTTGTGGAACTACCTAGACCAAGAAGCTATACCAGTCTTAAGGCTGCCAAAGTATTCTGGGATTTGTAGTCCTACAATAGGTAGGGATCTAATTTTTCTTCTGCACTTTCCATCAGACCATGCATTTATAATGCTGGATCAGACATTTGGGATGATAGCCAAGTGAGTGCAGACTGGAAGCTTCCTAAAAGGTATGGCTGGAGTTGCACAATGCAGACAAAGAATTGGGATACCTGGTGTCCACAACAGATAGATTAGAAGTGATATGACTTACATAAACTTTGTCCCCTTCCTGCAGCTTGTCCAGGCTCCAGTCCCAGCACCTCTTGCTCTCTACACTACCTTCCTCTCCGCCTGCCAACCCACACACAGTGCAGTAACAGCCCCAGACAGCAAGCTGCCCTGCCAGTCGCCCCTCCCACCTGAACAAAGTGTGCCGCCGGCTAGGGCTGTTACACTGTCTGATTGGTTCATCTCACAGTCAGTCTGCCTCTAGCTTGCCTGTGATTGGACACACTTCTCAGAACGCTCAGGGTGTATCCCCGGTGATTAAATTGCTACATTGTATTTTTTTTTTCCCCAATGTTCTTTAGAATAATAGCGTATATTTCGGGACTTCCTTAGTGGTTTGCAATAATAAGTATGTGGGTAAATGGGAGAACTCACTAAATATTAATACATCCCTATTTCCAGAACAGCCTCATTTCACTATAATAAAATGGATTGTCTTCACTCACAGTGAATCATGATGTAAACTGATATTTTCTGAGTCACTTTATTTGGGATGCGAAATTGGAAACAGAATGTTATATTCAGAATATCTAAATAATAAATAAAATAAATTCAATTCACATGTCATTATATTCCATTTATTTTCTGACAGAATCTGACACAGGAAACCATGGGGAGAGTGCAGACAAATAGTCACTAAATGTAATGTCTAAACGTGCTGGGGAAAAAATAAATAAATGGAAACATAAGTAATATTCAGAGAGGTGAATTTTGCAAAACAGCTTTCAGTCTGTACTGGTAATATTGGTAAATCAGCATGAGATGCTAAAATGTATGCCATCACCCAGAGCAAGCAGCCTGCAAAACTCTCAGCAGTGCAATGGTTAATTAATGTGGGGGTGAATTATCCACATATAACTATGGGGGGGGAGGGAAGTCCTCTTCTAATACCCACCTGACAAGCCACAGTTGGGGACCCTCCCACTAAACATATACTATTTATTTAGCTCCTCCACCTGCTGTGTGATGGATGAGCCGCTAAGAAGGGACTTCATGATATTTAAACCCCATTTCAATGCTCAGGGCTTGGGGTATTAGCGGTTGAGCAGCAAACGGTTTAATTGACGTGTTTCCATATATGGCTGCCGCATTATATAACTCCCTCACCAAAGTTTTTGAAACATATACACCTAACACTATAGTTTTGGACTACATATTAGCATCCCTGGCCCCCTTAGTGGACAAGGAAGTAGCTCAGCTGGCCGACTGAGTGACTGTTACTAGAGGTGTTCCCAGGCAGCAATTAAAACTTTGCCTATTCTCTGAAAAGACACGCTGTTCATTGAAAAGGCGTCAGGGACAGGAAATAGACACCAGAACCAATACATTCAGCTGCAGTGGTTCTGGTGACTATAGTGTCTATTTAACTATGTGCCTCTAGCTGCATGTGCTGACAGTGGGAAAATCACCAGATTTTTCCTCGATTTAACATTAATAAATGTCCTAATGTCAATTCCAGAGAAAATCTAGTGACTTTCACTAAATTGTTCACATCCAGTCAGAATCCAGTGTTTAGTGATAAACTCTGTAGGGAGAGTGTAAAAATAGTGCTTTGCAGAATGAAGTTTGTTAAGTATGCAATTAAAAAAATGTGTAAAGAATAGATCATCAAGCTGATATCATGTATCTATTGTAATAAGTGATACGATCCAGTTATATATATGGCAGCAGTGCACGAAGAAGCTGAAATTGGATAGAACATACCATGTGGGGAGATGCTGGGTGAGATAAGACAGGCATCTGTGGGCAGGACAATCAGCATGACATGCTTGACAGAAATTGAGTTTTTAGGGGTTTTCTTAAGAACTGGAAACAAGGGGAAAGTATGATGGGGTAATGCAGAGAACTCCTTAAAGGGATACTAGAGGCATTAAATCATCTCTAGCTTTATGAATCAGTTGGGTGTATAAATTATGACCTGACCTGCAGTCTCACTGCTCAATTATCTTCCTTTTAGTAGTTTTCACCTTTTTTCTGTTTATGCAGCCCTGGCTGTGACTCAAAAAGCTTGCATGAAAGAAACTGTATAATTTTCAATCAGGTGTTAACTTACTTTAGAAGCTTGTATCTCCTCCTCTGTAAATTGAACTTTAGTCACACGCTGGAGGCTCCTTTAGGGTCTTGAAGGCTATTAACATACCTGGAGCTGTGCAGTAAAGGAAGTTCTAACATTAGATGTCTCTTTACAGTAAGTGTTTAGGAAGTCTGTGTAAGTCACGTGCATGGAGGTGTGACTAGGGGTGCATAAACAAAGTGATTTAACTCCTAAATGGCAGATAATTGAGCAGTGAGACTGCAAGGGCATGATCTATGCACCAAAACTGCTTTATGAAGCTAAAGATGTTTTAGTGACTATAGTGTCCCTTTAAGAAAGGGGAAACCCGAGAGAAGTAATAGAGAGTTGGAGAAGGTGTGCGAATAGAGGGAAGACGCATATAGTGCCAGAGCAGACATAAAGATTTTCTAATATAGTAATGATGGTATGGAATAGGTGCACAGCAGAATTCATTACAAATTTTACACGGTAATTCTGGTGAGAGTGAGAATATCAGTAGTTGAGAAATGCCGTCACAGGATACTTTTTGCCATCAGCTATCACTTAAGATGGACAATTAGCAAAAGTCAAAGTAGAGCATCCAGAAGCTAATTAAAATTCAGATTTTGCTATACATCACAGTGTTCAGGCCAATCTCTTCTTATATCATAATGGTAACATACAGAACTTCTTGTTCAGTAAAAAATTTTTAGGAATAATGTAGAATTAAATGAGATCTGTTTTATGTAAGAACCCATCCTAAGTAATCTTCATTCAGTAATGTCATGTAGTGAGACTGAGAGCCTCTTCACCTGAGGATGCCTACATCCTGTTTATATATGCCTTATTCCAGCTGCAGCAGGCCTGATCACATATCTGCTTTATATTATACACTCCAGCGCTGCTTGTCTTATCTGAATATCAGATGGGAACACTTAGAATTCTGTGAACCTGTACGTGGAAGCTCAGTGCTGTGTGAACACAGAGGTTATTGCAGATTCATGAGTCTGCAATGATCAACAGTTTTAAAAAAAATGTTTTAATAGATTGTTTATAAGGGAACAAGTATAATTTATGTAAACATCACATATAGAACTAAAAGTCTTTCATTCCCTCAACTTCCTCACTATTACTTAAAATCTCCCTTATTTATTGACAACATTATTATTGCAGAATGACATAGTATATTGTAAAGCGATACGGAATCTGTTGGCGCTATATAAATGGCAATAATAATAATAATATAGTGATGCTAATTGAAGTACCATAAAGCAGATCTGCCCCCCCCCCCCCCCCGAAAAATGAATAAAATCTTTGTGAAATACTCATATTGACTTTGTTGGAATTTCTCTGAAATCCCAACTCAGCCAAGAGATCTACTGAGACAAAGAAGGGATGAAGGGACTACTTTGTCTCAGTATTTTTCCTGTGCCTGACACTTCTTGACACTGGGCGGAGCTACCACAGTCAAGAAGTATAAGTCGGGGTGGAGCCTGACCTTCAAGTGGAGTAGACGTGCTGTGCCTGAGCTCCCGCAAGTTAGGCCGATTTGAGGGGTTTTACCCCAGCTTGTCATGTTACATGATATTGTTTTATTATAATGTACTGTTTCTTTAATGTTCATCTTAAGTTTGTCCCTTGGTCCACTCCATAGTTTGCATGCTGCTCCAGGTACTACCCTCCCCTTTTTTCTGTTCTAGTGTATTCTATGCTGTACATTCATATGTGACTTGTTTCTCTGCTATCCTGTATGGAAGAATTGTTCTTTTACCTGTCGTAACTGCACATTCTACAGATCATACGACGAATAAACACCGCCAGATCTTCTTACATGTGAGTTGTGACTGAGTAAACTATCTGGGAAGGTGATTTGGTATGGATAATCTCATCATTGCAATGAGCGCCACGTGCTCCTGAAAAACACATTCATAGCCTCTGCAGCCGGTCCAGAATACAGCTACCAAACAACTAAAACCACTAAAGAGCATTACTTAAACCTGGGACTCCCTAATGTCCACATTGAGACCTTGATTGAGTCTATTATCCCCGGGGTTCTGTGCAACGCTGCTGCGGCTGACTCCCAAGCTACTCCAGTGTCCTGCAGTGCTCTTACCCCCCTTTGGACCAGTGGGCATAATGCCAGTCCCCACTGGTCGACCCTCAGCTACCATCATTGCACCTACCTCTGGCTTTCAAGATGGCACGAGATCTGGTGGCATGTTGTCTGTGCTGAACACTCAAGATGGAGGCTGCCTTAACAACAAATGCACATAGCCTGAGTTCTCCTCCCTGCTGCTCCCTGGAAATGATCAAATTATCTTGTTGCAACTGGATGTGGTGTTTCAAGACTTTTGGCTGAAGTTATAGCAGCGTACGCACCCTATTCTACCTAAGCAAGGGAAGGGGACAAAGTGTAGCAAGCTGAAGTTGTGGAGTAGGCCCCTTCTGGGCGATTTTAACATACAAGCACTTATATATCCTATTGTCTGGGCTGAGAGCCCCTTGAGGCGCTGCATTTCTGCATCTGCCACACAACCGGAGGATCGCCCGCCATTTACGGCACATGCCGTCTCGATCCACAATCTACCCTGGAAGGGGGAGAGAATTCGGCCCAGCGAGCACCGAAGTCTGTGGAATGGTGATGCTGGCCTACGCAAGCCCAGGGCCGGAGGAGATCCCTGCCCCCTCCCTCTGCGTCTTAACGAATATCACCCTGTACTATCCAAACGCCTTGCTTCTATTCCCACTATGGAAATTGGCAGATCCTGAAATTACCTTCCTGGCTGGTATAGGCTGAACCTAAGCATCATAGCAAGTTGTCAGACCCTTTCTGCTGAGTTACTTATTCTGTGTAATTATTTCTCATTATTTTTACTTATTTTCTTCCTTTTTTCCCCTATTGTTAGCAGTCCCAGTGGTTATATTACCTGTCAGATATTCCTACTCATATCGTCCTATCTTCAGTCGATGGCAGGGTTGTAGCTAGCACGTGTCTGTCATTGATCTTTGTTTTGCTTTTTATAGTAATTATCTGCCATGCTAGGACAACTTTATGTCACGTTATTTTACATAAAAATGTGCTTTGTACTCAGTATTTCATGTGTAATATTGTACTGTTAATTGCATATATTATTTAGCTGAAATGTCTGAATATGATTTGTAAGTTATACACAGAACTGAAAATAAAGAATGTAAAAAAAAAAGAAGTATCAATCTCCCCAGCCATCACCAGTGCTCTGTCTTCTTCATACGCTTCAGTGCTGTATTCTCGCGCATGCATAATTAACATTAAATGTGCAAATATGTTTTGTATAATTGAAGTAATTGGCAAATCTCTGTTCAGGTCCCATCATCTGAATAAGAAAGTATTGTCCAATAGACTTGTGCAGGAAAATTCAGTTCAGCCAAATCAATTTGGCCAGAAAAAAAAGTATTTTGTTTCACCGAATTTTGTCAAAAAACCAAAAGGGTGTGAATAATTAGCTTATCACTGTACTGCAAAACATAACATACTATTACCAAGGCTTAACATTTGAAGTCCTAATAGAAAGACCTTAAAAGTTACTCTTCATTGCAAGCCGTAGTACACTCACCAGAAGTGAATTTTTACTAGCCAATGGCTAGTGACAAGTGGAAATGTTGTTCCCTGTTTATTTGTATATGTGTATAAATTACAGTAGAGTGTTAGGCTCATGTTCACATCCTTTCAGTGATGCTAATTCAAGTCGGAATTCGGTCGCCTGAATTCCAGCTGAATAGAATGATATTTACAATTCAAATTTGGTCTACATTTGGTCAATATTCATGACAACTGTCCATGTCGTTTTTTTCAGGATACGTCCATACACAGTGCTTCCAAGTTATCAGACAAAATTCTGAAGAATTGCTATTCATTTGAAATCTAAAGCTATGATTCGGCAGAGAGTGAACCTGTAACCCTTAAATCGTATGGATGACAAGTAAAAATAGTTTTATTCTATGCATTGTGTTGGCAGGAACCGATGGACACTGACCATCAAACTGCACATATTTGGCCAACAGAGTTGGAAATACGTCTGAGTTGGACCATTTTTCCATTTCATTTATTTTGGCCTCAAATATGAAATTCCTTTACCAAGTCAATTCCTAGTTTAGTGAATAATCATTATGGCGAATTGAAAAAAAAGTAAATAAAGTCTAATCTCTGAATGGACCAAACTTGCCACAGTTTCCCTGAGTATGAAAAGATGAGAACAAGTGATTTCATTTCCTTAACAAATCTGGATTCTCTGGCTTTTTCAGTGCAAGGCATACATGTAACAATACACTCCATACATGGCAAGATTTATGCAATATGTTGTAGTTCATTATTTACAGGTACGTTTACTCATGCAAAAACAGGAATAGAAAAACTCATAGCAAACTCGTAATAGTTATGTCTATTTACTTGAAAAGTAGTTTCACTTATGTGTTTTCATGAATTGTATAACTCACAGCCTTGCATGCACATGGCTGCTATGTGGACTCTCTCATGGAATGTTATAAGTGTGTCTGCAGAAGTCACCTAGGAGATATACAGAGTTCAAATACCGTGTAAGAATTAGTCATGGTTAAAGGACATGCAACTTCCTCCTGTCACATCAGTGAGTGGACAGTAGGTAAATAGCTTCAGGTAACTTTGCACATACTAAAAAAAGGGTCTCATAGAAACATAGAATATGACGGCAGATAAAAACCATTCGGCCTATCTAGTCTGCTCAATTTTCTAAACACTTTCATTAGTCCCTGGCCTTATCTTATAGTTAGGATAGCCTTATGCCTATCCCATGCATGCTTAAACTCCTTTACTGTATTAACCTCTACCACTTCAGCTGGAAGGCTATTCCATGCATCCACTACCCACTCAGTAAAGTAATACTTCCAGATATTATTTTTAAATATTTGCCCCTCTAATGTAAGACCATGTCCTCTTGTTGTGGTAGTTTTTCTTCTTCCTTGCTGTACGAGCTATGCAGGGTTCATTCATGGTTATTATTGATGTGTGAACTGTCAGAAATTCAAACTTTTTGAAGGTTATAGCAGACTTGAAAAAAATTCAAATTTTGTCCCTAAATTTGTAATTCACACAGAATTTACTTTAAATGAATTGACAACTCACATTTTAAATACATCACTCGCTTACTTAGTCGGTGTTTACAATGCTCGAAGTCTCCATTACAAATGCAGAGGAGTTGGTTTCAGTGATCAGTCTGGACTGATGCTCTTCTGCTTCACATAATTACAGAGCAAGCTGAACTTAATGTTATTTAAGTTGAAATTTACTGACGTAAAAATCGCCTCACTCATTTCTTTAACTAATGATCAAACCAGGTCTGCTCACAGCAGTCACCACGGCACCCTAATAACTAAAAAGGTTTTTGTTTTTTCTAGCAAAAGATCAATGTTTAATTCAAACCATCTGCATTGCAATATATTTTTAATCTTTTTGTTTTAGTGTTGGAATCCAACATGTGAAATTCTTTCATGTCATTCCGGAGCAGCTCTAAATGCACAGTGCACGTCACTGCATGTCTGAACTATTCTATTACTATACAAGCACTGCCTACTGCCTAGGGGTAAATATTTTACCAGCCCTATCCTGAAAGGCCTCTTAAAGCTCTTACATAAGCACTTGTTACACCTAATATACAAATACAATAAAAGAATGCAAAAATGCTTATTTCTTTGCCACTCATATTTAAACGTTTAAGGTGGAACTTACACTTTTATGATTGTGAAATTTCCATTTTCTCTCATCCTTATTAATTACTGGGGCATATACTAGTGTGAGGAATATAGCAGAAGCATACTTTATTATACATCAGTCCTGGGTGTGCGCTCTGCCATCTTTCCATGATTCTCTACGCCTGCTCATGAGTTCTCAAACATGTCCTTCCACAGTGCTGTATGAGCGTATATATATTCCTTTCATGGTGCCTTAGATAGACATGCCAGCTCACTTTTCCTACATGCACAACATCAGGTGGGTCGAAGCAATTTGCATTATATGCCAGGCTGTGCCAGGACAGGCAGTCATATGATATAAATTGAATAATAAAAAACTATATTAAAAAAAGTAAAGCACAATTGTAGATTATCCTAACGTAGTATACCTATAAATTTAATTTGAGTAATGACAGGAGGCGATTATTTGCATATCTCTCTTTACTGAAAACCTCCGGCAGCACAGAACATAAACAACCAATCAGAAAAAAAGAAGGATGTTACACAAAAGGCCCTGTAAGACCACGCCCTTCCTCTTTGTTTGTAACACACAATTAACAGGTAACAAATACATGAACCATGAAAAACAAACATATAGCAAAGTTCCAAATAATCAATGCTGAATTCCATAGATCCAGAATGGGAAAAGTCAAAAAGCTTGAAACTGTATCCTTAACTCCATAAGAGAACCAATTACACTGAAAAAAAAAAAGAAATCAGTGAAAGGTATCTGAAATGGGCGATTGTCCTCATGGACATATCAACAACATAAAATTAAGTACACATTATCTGATTACTATAGAACCTAGACCCCCCCCCATACATTATCATAGTACAGCACAGAAACCCTGGTACATTGCATACAGAAAAAAGGGGAGGGAAGAGAAATACGGGAGGGAAATATTTGCCTCCTGTCATTACTAAAATTAAGATTATAGGTACACTACGTTAGCATTATCTACAATTTTACCACATGACAGGAGGCGTCATATTTGCATTTTTAATACTGATGGTTAAGAAGAGCGGAAGAAGCATGATAATCTTGGCAAAAGTAGAATACTCGAAAAGTACTCTCACGTGTCCAAGCCGCACAACATTTGATATCCGTAATAAAAGGGTAAGTTTCGCCGATAACTGTCTAAGAGATAGACCCGGATTACCTGGCCAACCTCTAAGGAAATGCAGCACCACTTCTACGTCCCTGAGACACAAATATTTAGGAGCTGGAGGTCTAGATAACTTAGCTTCCCGCAACAGACGCCATTCCAGAGGATCTTGACCTACTGGGATAGCTTGTATGGGAACTTGTGCAGCAGAAATGGCTAAACGCACTACGTAGAGGGAACGATATGATCGACCTTGGGAAAAAGCTGAGATAAATAGTACAAGATGATAGGGATAGGTGCAGTAAAATCCCTCTCTAGACACTAATGACTGCCAGGGGCCCAAGAGTCCCATAAAAGATCCTTAGCTACTTGCGATACCCCCAGGACCAACTAGGATCCCCATAAATCGTCCAGGCCACTAAATCGAGCTTCTGTTCCAGTATGAGGGGATGAAGTTCTCCCCTCGGTCTCGTCAGAAGTAGAGTGAATGATGGGAGAGGAAGTGGGTGATCTCGGGACATCTCCAATAGGTCCTGGAACCATGCTTGACTCTGCCAGAGAGGTGCTATGAGGAGGAGTGAAGCTGTGTGGGTTTGTGTGTGGTGGAGTACTCCCGCCAGCATGGGGAATGGAGAGAATGCAAACACTCCGTGTGTCGGCCATGGTTGAAGAAACTCGTCCACTGCCATGCAGTACGGATTTGGGAGCCAGCTGTAGTAGTTCGGTAGCTGGTGATTGTCTCCCAGCTAGTGTCCTCAGTGTCCCCATGTCTCCCAGTGTCCGTTTCCCCATGTCACTCAGTGTGCCTAGTGTCCCCAAATGTCTCAATGTCCCCATGTCTCCCAGTGTCCCTGGGTCTCTCAGTGTCCTCATGTCTCACTGTGTCCCCTAGTATCCTAGTGACATGGGGACACACTGAGACATGGGGATACACTGAGACACTGGGAGACTAGGGGACTGGGCAACATGGGGACACTGACACTGTGATACATAGGGACACTGAGACACTGGGTGACTTGCAAGACTGAGACACTGGGAGACAGGGAGACACTGGGAGCAATCCATCTATACAGCAGAATCAAACTGTAAGTAGTTTGTTGGTGATTTTACAGAATTTTCTCTTATGTCACTCCTTGTGATTTACATCATGTGATTTCATGCATACATAATTATATATACAAATTATTTAAGGCTGGTCTTTTTTTCTAAGAAAGGTGGCAACCCTAACTACTCTTCACATACTCTTGCTTAAAGGAACACTATAGGGCCAGGAACACAATCATGTATTTCTAAACCCTATTATGTTAAAACCACCATCTAGCCCTCTCTTGCCTCCCTAAATATAGTAAAATATTACTTGTATTCAGATCTGCAGCTGCTGGCCCTGCCTCTGAATTGACTGTCTGTTGACATCATCAGAAGTGGTGGTCTGAGAAAATTACAATGCTTACCCATAGGATTGGCTGAAACTGTCAACTAGGCAGATCAGGGGCAGAGCCAACTAAAGTCAAACATAGCCCTGGTCAATCAGCATCTCCTCATAAAGATAAATTGAATCAATGCATCTCTATGAGGAAAGTTCAGTGTCTGCATGCAGAGGGTGGAGACACTGAATGGCAGTGCTGCACGCTAGGCAGTAATGCCCCAGAAGCACCTCTAGCAGCCATCTAAGGAGTGGCTAGTGGAGTTATTTCCTCTGAAGCAGCTACACAGCACAGAGATTCCAGACAGCAGCTCTACAGCTCAGGTAAGTGAAGGGTGGAGGGAAAGGCAGCAGGGAGACATGGGGACACTTGGGGACACAGACACTTGGGCACACTGAGACACTAGCAGACACTTTGACACATGGGGATGCTGAGACACATGGGGACGTTGGGAGACATTGGGAGACACTGAGACATTGGGACACAGCGACACTAGGGACACAGTGTCCCCATGTCTCCCAGTATCTCCAGTGTCCCCATGTCTCCCAGCTAGTGTCCTCAGTGTCCCCATGTCTCCCAGTGTCCGTTTCCCCATGTCACTCAGTGTGCCTAGTGTCCCCAAATGTCTCAATGTCCCCATGTCTCCCAGTGTCCCTGGGTCTCTCAGTGTCCTCATGTCTCACTGTGTCCCCTAGTATCCTAGTGACATGGGGACACACCGAGACATGGGGATACACTGAGACACTGGGAGACTAGGGGACTGGGCAACATGGGGACACTGACACTGTGATACATAGGGACACTGAGACACTGGGTGACTTGCAAGACTGAGACACTGGGAGACAGGGAGACACTGGGAGCAATCCATCTATACAGCAGAATCAAACTGTAAGTAGTTTGTTGGTGATTTTACAGAATTTTCTCTTATGTCACTCCTTGTGATTTACATCATGTGATTTCATGCATACATAATTATATATACAAATTATTTAAGGCTGGTCTTTTTTTCTAAGAAAGGTGGCAACCCTAACTGCTCTTCACATACTCTTGCTTAAAGGAACACTATAGGGCCAGGAACACAATCATGTATTTCTAAACCCTATTATGTTAAAACCACCATCTAGCCCTCTCTTGCCTCCCTAAATATAGTAAAATATTACTTGTATTCAGATCTGCAGCTGCTGGCCCTGCCTCTGAATTGACTGTCTGTTGACATCATCAGAAGTGGTGGTCTGAGAAAATTACAATGCTTACCCATAGGATTGGCTGAAACTGTCAACTAGGCAGATCAGGGGCAGAGCCAACTAAAGTCAAACATAGCCCTGGTCAATCAGCATCTCCTCATAAAGATAAATTGAATCAATGCATCTCTATGAGGAAAGTTCAGTGTCTGCATGCAGAGGGTGGAGACACTGAATGGCAGTGCTGCACGCTAGGCAGTAATGCCCCAGAAGCACCTCTAGCAGCCATCTAAGGAGTGGCTAGTGGAGTTATTTCCTCTGAAAAGACAGTCTTACTGCAAAAAGCCTTACCAGAACAAATACAATAAGCTGTGGTTGTTCTGGTGACTATAGTGTCCCTTTAAGTTTGGAAACAAAACTTGTGTGGACTGGCTGACAATAAAATTAGTTTAGGTAATGCAGACTTTGGTCTCTCTAACACTGTGGCATGTCCCCTTTCTTCTACACTCACTACATACACCTTTTCTCAGTCCCACACTATATACCAGGAATTAATAATGAGAAACCAGCGCACTCCCTGTCCACTAAACAGCTACTTTGGTGCTGATGGATAGCTCATTTAGCAGCTCATTTAGGCAGTTAGAGTAGGACCTGCCAAATATGGGGTGCATTGACATTGTGGCAGGCTTATGCAATGTATGATCATATAATGTAACTAAATCCCCATTGTTTTTTTTGCCTAGATTAGGTGTTTTTAATAAAACTTACAAAATCCATCAGCACCATAGTAGCTGTTTAGTGGATAGGGAGTGCGCTGGTTTCTCATTTTTACAGCACCCCATTTAAGCATGTTAGGTTGAGTGCAATGAACCCCTTGTTTTTTCATATGTATATATATATATACCAGGAATTTCTGCCTGCTAGTAAGAAGGCAAGGAGACAAGTGGACATGTGAGTGCTAGGGGACAGGCCTTAGAAGGCATGGAGTAGGCGCATCATTTGATGCATTTATGTCAAGCTCAGGGTGCTGCCTGCATAGAATGCCCTTAGTTGGACAGCCTTCATGAGTGGCAGGCAGCCTGACATGCATTCGTGCCAGGTTGGCCTTCCAATTCTTTGGACAAACATGCCCCTTTTTTGGGCATGTTCACCCCTTTTGGCAGGTCTGGTCACATGATTCGCGCCGGTGGCACACCCTTTTACCCTGCTCTTTGACTTTCTGCTTCACTGGACACCGCTGTTAGGGGATATGGATTTACTTGAAAGATGAAAGCATAAATTAGAGAGAGATTAGCATAGAGTATGTGTTTTCGTATAGCTGCATCCTTTGAGTTTCCCTCCAACACCATCTCCATCAGATACATGAGGTATGATTGTTTTAGTGTTTTTGGTCGATAAGATTCTGTAATTAGGCCCATCATAATTGTCAGCACCAGGTCCACTGGGCTCTTAATCTGGCCCTGGATGCAGCAGTTTGACATGTGTTTGGCCACACTGCAAATTGCAAAGGACCCCGCAACCAATTCTATGCAGTTGATGTGGAGGTTGACTTCCTAGTCCTGCCAAGGTCCCAGCGTAGAGGAATCCATGCAGTTAGTGGTAATCCTAGTCCTGAGGTCTCCTAAAGTCCAGATCGAGAGAATCCAGATCTGGAATGAAGATCTGAGGCAATCAGTAGGAGAAGTGGCAGAGGAACAAGTCCACGATGTGCCAGACTCCTGGTACAACTGGGGCTTGTCCAGAACCCTGGTAGCGGGCAATGTGTAGTAGTTGCCAGTGAAATAGGGCTCAACCTCTACTGGTACAAAAGGGTGTTTCCCTTGAGTGATATGGGAGACATAATAGTCTCATAAAATTGGGGTCCACCCAATAAGACCTCTCCGTGGGGTTTGGTACTTGAGAGGGGCTCACCTTCTGACCAGATACACCCCCATTTTAATCGAAAGCTGTATCCCCTTGGTCAACAAGAGTAGTCAGCCCAATCACATAGGTATTAACATTGCAAGTAAGGTACCATATCTTTTTAAAGTCTGCTCCAGCAGAGCTTATACAGGTGTCTACAGATAGTATAATAAATAGGAGGGGCACCCCTCGTGCCAGTGAAAGATTTAAACCTGAGATCGCTACACCAGGTGGTGTGCCTTGTATAACAGAGGGCAGGCCCGGACTGGCCATCGGGCATACCGGGCAAATGCCCGGTGGGCCGCGATGGCCGTGGCCGGCAGGGGATCTCCCCGGCCGGCCCCTGCAGGGCCAGCGCTATCCGAGCGCCGGCCCCGCTGTGTGCCTCCATGGGCCGGTGGGGAGATCACAGATCTCCCTCACCGGCCCACAAGAATGGAGATGCGGCCGCCAGCTGGGTGAGGGAGGGAGGGAGGACCCGGCGGAGCTCTAACAAGCAGCTCCGCCGGGTCCTCTCGCGAGATTCAGATCTCGCAAGAGTGAACTCTAACCTACAGGTTAGAGTTCACTCTCACCACTGGACCACCAGGGAAGGCAGCATGGCTCCCCTCCTCCTCCCCCCCCCCTCCCAGGCTAAAGAAGGGGTGGGGGGGGAGACATAACTTTAAAAAAAAAAATATTAATAAAAAAATATATATATATTTAAAATTAATTCCCAAACAGCACCCCCAGACACACACAGCCCCCTCACACACAGCACCCCTAGACACACACACACAGCACCCCCAGACACACACACACAGCACCCCCAGACACACACACACAGCACCCCCAGACACACACACAGCACCCCCAGACACACACAGCACCCCCAGACACACACACAGCACCTCAGATACACACAGCACCCAAACACACACAGCACCCAAACACACACAGCACCCCCAGATACACACACAGCACCCCAGACACACACAGCACCCCCAGACACACACACAGCACCCCAGACACACACAGCGCACCCAGACACACACAGCACCCCCAAACACACACAGC